GGTCACCTATATATTTTGCCATGAGCCATGACTGTGTTCCAAATGGCATCAATGTTTTCAAAGTGCACTGCAAAGGGAGCACAATTGTAAACTTGAATATCACTAAAACTGAACTGTAAAAATACTTTGAAAGCAAATTACAGCTGAGTAATGACTTTAATGCTAAAAAAAAAATGTCAGAATGTTCAAAACAAACAGGACAAAGGGGGATCATCAGTAATAGAATACAGCCAGGAACTATGTTTCTAACTATAATTCTAGAGGTGTAGTTGCAAGCATAGAAGTGTGCGACACAGTTGGCGAATGGTTGTTGGAACGACGTATTTGGGAAATGCCAAATTAACAAACTATGTGTGTAACAACATAACTTGTGACCTTAGCTGTCTAATGATGCTTTTCGGAAACGCACCCCAGGTTGCTTCAAGAAAAAGCACGCCCATAGAACATCTAAAGTGAAATGGCTTTTTTAAATTCATTGCAGTCGTGGCACACTAACATATCTGGCTCAGTTCAGTCCCAGTTATAGGTTGTTAACTTGGCTGAGCCTTGGTCCAGATATGGTCAATGTTTGGCCTTGAATGGAAGCCAAACTTGGTCCCTGGGGTCCGTTGTTTATACGTGGATTACTCAATCAACTGGATTTGGTTATTGACAATTTGACATGTTCCAGGATTGTTTCGTTCCTTAAAACTCATCTGAGAGTTGTTGTCATAGCAACTGTTTTGATAGATCAAACCTGCTGGGGAGCAGGCTCATTTTATATAAACAGGATTAGATTGGGTCTTCTCAAGCAAAGGTAACACTTAAAGTATATATGCTGACATAGGTTATATACTCTGGGGGGGGAAATAGTTAAATAAATGTATATATATACATTTAGAATTTATTATAATTTGTAATATTTAAAATTAAATAATTTATAATATTTTTGCTTATATACATATAAGATTTTAAAAATATTTAAATAAAACGTATACAATCTGCACTCCGAAATAAGTACAAAATGGGATGGTTCTCCCCAAGGGGATCAAAGAGAACATTTATTAATATTGACTTTTTAGATACAAACACATACAGTACTATATTAAGGTACTGACCCAGCTTTACAATTTGTGTATAATAATAGACAATATTCGACTATTTTTTGTTTGTTTGTTTTTTAAAGAAATAATACATTTATGCAGTCATGCGCATGTTTTGATATGACAGCGACTGGATGCTTTGCAGAAATAGCAGACACCTTTACTGAAATCAAAATGCTTTTGATGCAAAATTCATTTAAATTAGCCCATTAAGAAACCTAATTAGGCCTACAATAATAAAGAAAATCTCTCTAAAATGTAAAAATAAATTGCTAAATATTCTTGACACATGAAAGGGTAAAGCCTGCAGCCCACAACAAATGTGTTATAAAGTTATTGTGTTTTATATTTAACAAACTGTTTACTAAGAGTTCAATACAAATTTTGCTCACATGGGTAATTGAATATTAATCAGATTATAACATTACGCTGCTGTGCTTTTAGCCAATCATTGCACTGCTGATTATGATTTCGAGGATCTGTCCTTTACAACAGATGCAGCCAACCAGCGATCTCAGATTAGTTCATCCTGACATTTTAATCTGATTTGCAAACCAGTTTAGCCAGAGATCAGTTGTCAAGATTAACGAGAGGGGTCTGGATGCAGACCTGGTGCAGTGCAATCTGAAATGCATCCAATGCTTTTTAATGTGCTCACCTAACCCCACCCCGAGCCTTACCCATCACAGTGACGTCACTCACTCCTTTGAGTGCATTGTGTCTGACATTGCATCACTGAGGCTGCATGAAGATACTATTGAGATTAATAGATGCAGGATATGTTAAATCATTTAAGATCTGCATAATTAAGGTAAGAACGGACCCATGGTCCCTTGGTGGGGCGGACGTTGGTGTCGGTGGTGAGGTGTCTGAGGTGTCGCATACTATACAAAAGTCAGCGACCCAGGGGTGTTACAGACTGTACCAAAGAGCTGAGGCCGGGAGGGGGGGTTGAAATTCCGGTAGTTTAGTAGTAAGTTTAGAAGTAGTTTTAGTAGTAAGAGACTTCTGGGAAAAACAGGAGTGGGTTACATTGAAACCCTGCGTCCAAACAATACGCTACATGACGACTTTTGCAGTGATAAGCAATTTGTCTGTTTACACGACAGAAATTTAAATACAGCCATACAGCCAAATACATGCACTCACTCACAAAATAGTAAGGTATATACACTAATTAACACATATTACACCTCTTTAACATTATTAAATGTAGATGTTGTATCACTATGTGTTGGTTTTTAGTCAGTTCTAAAGTTCAATTTCAAATGGTTTATTTTATTTTCAAGACTTAAGGTGAACTATCTGCAGCTGCTGCTGCTGCTTTTAGTAGAATGGCAATAAATTACAATAAATGGCATTAAACACTGAATAAAACACATGAGGTGTACCTGAGGTGATCATTGTCAGTTTTCTGTTGTTCAGCTGTAAGAAATAGAAGCCGTTTCTCATTTAGCAATTTGAGGAGCTGGTTAGAACAAAACCCCCTTTACATTTATTCATTCATTTTCTTGTTGGCTTAGTCCCTTTATTTATCCGGGGTCGCCACAGCGAAATAAACCGCCAACTTATCCAGCACGTTTTTACGCAGCGGATGCCCTTCCATTCTTCCAGCCCATCCCTGGGAAACAAAAGCTCCTTTTAAAATGGAAAATTTTCTTTGTATCGCATGCTGTTGCTCGAAAAAACTATTTAAAACACGATTTAAATCAGCCTTGTTAGTCCTCAATCCTGCAACCTGTGCTTAGGTTTTTTTTGATCCAGAAATGCAACAACTAGTTCGACCACTGGTTGTCAATCTTACATACTGCACCTTTAAAGGGTCACAAAACACCAAAACACATTTTTTGAGCTGTTGACAGTCGTATACGTGTCCCACACTGCTAAAAACACTATTAGGACACATATATTTCACTAAAAAGTGTAAATTGGTTGTTTTTGCGTTATTTCAAGCAAATTCGTACTTCCGGTTTGAAACGAATTTTTGAAGCTGCGTCATGGCCATGACATAATAGCATGTATTCCAGCGTGCAGACTGGATGTCTGTACCAAAGTGGGCCTTATTATGTCTCAGAGTGTGCTGCATTGATGCATGAGTAAGGCTTGGTTCAAACCAATCAGCGTGCTCTATTGTGCAACTTCATTAATATTCATTACTGTCACAGTGTTTAGACGACTGAGACACCACGTTGTATTGGCAAAACAAGCGTTGCTTTTATAGTTTGCTGCAGTTAAGTTTTGTTTTCATTTTCTCTCTGTGAGAGCGCAGCTGGAGTCACGTGTGGATTAACAGTGTATGCGACGCTCAATAACAATAACTTACGTGTCTAAGGAGGAACATTGCTTACCTGACAGCTGTTCTTATCTGCAAACGCTGAGATCCGGATTCACTTGTTGTCTCCTCTTAATAAAGATGCGGCTCTAGCTGCTGGTGATTGTCCTGTCTCTACAGATTTGGTAAGTGAGCGACCAGTGCTCTTTGTTTATTCAGTTTGTTTGTATCGAACTAACAATTGCGCCAAGTGTAAACATGTTAGCACTACAACCAAACTTTAACCAGGTGTAGGATTTTCACCGCATTTTGTGACCGGAATAACACACGCGGCCTTCTGACACTACCTGCTGTGTGCATCTAAGTTTCCGGGAAATGCTGAGGTTTTTTTTTCTTTCATTCGCTGTGCGGTATCAAACATTGCATTAAAAATACATGCTTAGAGCAGTTCCTCGAATCGAATATCTCGTTTGTTGCGAGGGGCATGACTGAATTCCCTGAATGAAAGAGCCAAACTGCAGTTAAAGTCCACCATTTAATAATTTGGCAAATAATTCGACTACAGATGTCCATGTAAACACAGTCACTTTCTCCCGTGTGTGTGTGTGTTTTGACTCTGAAACTCAGCGGGTGCCCAAATAGACACTCCCACACCATACCCTCTTTAGTTCCCATAGCTTGACACACCCACTTTTCTGACTTTTTCCAAAGTAGAGGTGTGAAAACACCCTGCTGAAACCAGGGGGTTTCATGGCCCTTTAAAGCTGTAAAACTTAACATTGCAGTAAAAAAAAAAAAAAAAAAAAACTTTAGTATGGAGTAAATAACTTATAGCTGTGAAGAAAAGTTAATTGAATTGCTTTTCACAATAGACTATTGGGACTTCCAATGTGCTGAAAGTGCCATCTTCGAAATCATCAAAACTAGTTTTCAAATGAGCACTATCCTAACAATAAAAAAATGCACATTTGGAATCGAAACAACTACAGATGTTATAATATTAAAAAAACAAAAGACCACCATAATTTTAAACATCTTTCATAACTGTTTATTTACACACTAAAATATACTTAGAACACACTTTTTCATATGTCAAAAATGTCCTCAGAATAACATTTTACATCATTATTATAAAAAAAATCTGTCCTCTTTTAACCCAAATTTTGGTTTAAAAAAATGGACAAACCCAATTAGTTGGGTTTCATTGTTTTTTTTTTTTTTTATTGTTTAATTTTGTCAATATTTTGACACAAATTTTGGTTGAAACAAGCATTTTTTTAAAGAGTTACATTTAATGTTGCTATGCTTTTAATGTTTAGTTTTGATGCAATAACTAGCATATAAAGTCTCTAAATACATGCCTGTGCATTCACAGTAAATGTTAACCCTATTTCAAAGATAAGGAGAAATGTAAATGAAATAAAAATACTTAAACGTGGTGAAAATAGCACAAAACCAATTGAATTTTATAGAAATGTAAACTATAATATATATATATATATATATATATATATATATATATATATATATATATATATATATATATATATATATATATATATATATATATATATATATCAGTTGTATTGTAAATAACACAGCCTAAATCCCCTGAAGGATTATGTTCAGTTCACACTTAAATATACTGTTTCAAAATATATTATTTTTGTGATGAGTGATAAAAAAGTAAAGCTAAAGTGCACTTCTTTTTTCTAAATGAAAGCTGTAATCTGTCATTGATATGACCTATGGTTTGTGTTAAAGTTAAAACAATACGACTTTCAGAATAGCAGAAAACCAAGCGCTTGTCAGACAGCTCGTGCAAAGCCAATGCGATTGTTTCCCCGATCAAACTCTGTGTAGTACCGAGCTATGAAGTTTGCCCCCAGTATCCAGACAGGACCAGTAGGGGGTGGCACATCCAATGCTTTGAACGTGACAGTACAAATGTCCTCCCCGAACTCTGACTGCTGTAGGGTAGAACAAAAGAAGAGAAAGAGACATTAACAGAGCGAAGGCAAATACCATATGTGTGTCATTGACTGATGAATCTCAAAACAGATGCTACACTTGAGAAGGCATCTGGAAAACAATATGCAAATACAAGATGAGGCATTTTATTTTTAATGAAAAGAGTCATTGCACTAACTGAAATAGATCCCAGACTTCTATGCTTTACAAAAGGCCACTTTTCAGTACAGAATCGGCAATTGTATTTTTGTAATGAAACAACACTTTAGTATAGAGCTGAATTAGAGCCTTTTTGAAACTTATAAAATTGTTCACAGTGAAACACTAAAATGATAATAAAACAAGTGAACACCTTGACATCTTGAAATTACAATTGATAAATGATTTTATTTTTTTTCTTTAATTTTTGGAAATAAAAGAGGAGGCTGTTAACAAGTGGCTAAATCTAATGAAAGAACTGACTTAAATGTAAATAATTCTACTTCCAAATTACAAAAAAATAATAAAGGCATTGTTAAGGTACTATACAAGTGTGCACCTTAAAAAATTCTTTCAAGGGCATTTTTAGAAAGTGTAATGCCATATTTATAGATTGTATATTCTTTGATTAAGACTCTGGAAGTCAGTGAAGAAGAGCAGTAAAAACCACAAGAGGAACCACATGGAAACACAAGCCAAAAAGCAGTGTCACACCTCTTTTTTCTTCTTCTTCTGTTTATTGATGAGTTAAATTCTTTGTATAGATTGTGTCCTATTGATGAATGTATTATGATTTTGATCCTAAATTATTTTCATAGAACCTTTTATGGATCAAACAGAAAACTGTTTGTTAGATCCTAATTATATCTTAAATTAACGATTATTTAGATATATGTTAGCTTTTACATTTGTTATTGGGTGAGATATGTTTAGAATAAAATTATGTAAACAATGCATCAAATAAAAAACATATTGTAAAAATAATAATAACAATTAATTGCAGATCCACCATGTGAAATAACAAAAGAAAGTATAAATATATATTAATTTATAATAGTGTTATAATATATTACATCAAATTTAAATAAAACATTTTTAATTATTATTTATAATGAATTATAATTATTAGTTGTTTGGCTCACTTCTGTGTTTTTAAAGTGCTCTATAAATAAAGTTTGACTTGACTGCCTTGACTGATTTATATTAAGAAATATTAATATGTATTTAGAAACATATATATAATTAGATAGCACTGTTGCCTCACAACAAGAAGGTTGGTGGTTTGAGTCCCGGCTGGGCCAGGTAGGGATTGATGATACCACCTCTAACTAATCATATGTGTTGGCTTAAAGTAGCTGCGCAGACCACTGATCTTTAATACAGAGCATTATGGCGAGATCTGCCTCTTTTAGTAAGGGAGAAACATAAAACTTTGTCACTTTTCCACATATTAAGTGGATTATATTTATTATTTGTCAGACACATCAGGGGGTTTTAGCACCAGCAAAATACCTAAAGCCTTCGGTAAGTGTGTGTGCATTACATAAAAGTCCTTACCCAGAGAATATAGTCCTCATCTGTGAGTGAATATTCCTGACCACCAAGATGAAATGCAACAGTGGGCAACAACCTGACCACATTACAGCTCACTGTATACTGAAAATACAACAAAAAAGAGAGAAAAGGTGAATGATAGCCTAAAAGCCACACAAGGAACACATTGTACTGCACCATTTGGCAAAACTGACACCAAACTTCACACTTAAAAGAAACAAACACTTTTCTACACTGAAAATTAACCACATTGACGATAGAAGAAAAAACAACATCAGCTTTCAATCATTCCATTCGCTCTTCAGACGTTATTTATGAAACTCAGCCAAACATGATAGACCAAAGCAGCTGTTCCCATGGAGTTGTGCAACAGGAAAAGGAAACAGAACAATAAGAAACAGGTTTTAATGCTCATATCATCTGGCATTGGCTGTAGAAGTATTGTTTAATGATATCAATGGTATATAAGATGTAAATGGAAGGACGTGATTCATCTATTTGCGCTGACTTGCGTTAATACTGACTTCAACTCTTATCAATCAGTTGGCACTCCTAAATGTTTTAAAAGATCCCTTGTATACTGGAACACACTTTCATTTTTTATGACTCTGGAGACGTTTGATAGCTTGCCACTGCTGCTAAGATTTAGAGATATCATAATATTGTTTTTAAGTCTTAAATTTTGGCTTCTTCAGTTTTTATAGTTTCTAAAGTTAGGCAGTGGATTCATAATTTATGTGCAGAATGAAACGTTCCCTGGTTTAATGGCTTATTCTCTCTAACCCATTTTCAAATTATTAGCAGATTATATGTACGCTCTTGCATGAAGACCGATTTTTAGGGAATGTCTGTAACCTTAGGTAAGCAGAATTTACCCCTCCTTCTGCCAGTTCAACGGCTCCAATTGTTTTCATCAGAATCGAGATGGAGGAAGCGGGGCCTGTGATGTAGGAGGAGCCTGTATCAATCACAGCAGTACAGCCATCCTTGCAAAACAGGATATCTGCCCCAACCGACACCCTGTAGAGAAACAATGTATCATTGAGGTTATTCAAACAGATTCTCATTTTAAAATCTAATATTATGTGCTATTATTGGATTAAAAATGAAGAACTACAGAAATAGAAAGCAAAAGGTTAGATAGTGGTTAGATGCATCCACAACTGGTACCTGTATCATGATGATGGCTGAACAAACTCATGATTACAGGGTTGAGGCTGATTTATTCTTTGTATCAGCCTTCACACAGTTGCATACCCTTCACCGTGGCTGACGCACACCTCTCAGAAAATGTAACTACACATCGCAACAACACGTATCACAAGCTCTGTGATTGGTTGGCTTGGTAGCACTAACAAGCATGGGTGTGCTGACAGTCACGAGCCTGATTGTTACCAAGCATTGAGTCCTGTGTGAGCTCCAAATGGAAACTTTTGTTTTGTGTTTCCCAATTGATTTAAGATGTTGCACGTCTGCTGAATCCTGCCTCTAGTTTTAGCTACTAGCGTTCAGAAAAAAAGAAAAACACCTGCGAAGAAACTCAACACAGAGGAACAATAAAACCTACTGCCAGTTGGTGTTTCAGGAGTGTTATTGCAGAGCGACACAAACAGCATGCAGAAGTATAAATAAAAGGCAGATGCCGTGGGTCACACCAATCTCTCAACAAAGAAATTGACAAAACCAAATCAGTGCAGTTCAGCTTTATTGGTACCATGACTAATTGTTAACTTTCTCTGTTAATCCGGGCTTTGATCCTGATTTTATACGCGTGTGCACATAAAGGTGGGATATCAATAGCAAGCAGCCAATCGCATGCCTGTTTTTTTTGTCACTGATAAACTTCGGGTGAAAGGTTAATGTCACTTTTTTCAATGTCACAAGGTTCCTTTTCATTCATTCATTCATTTTCTTGTCGGCTTAGTCCCTTTGTTAATCCGGGGTCGCCACAGCGGATTGAACCGTCAACTTATCCAGCAAGTTTTTACGCAGCGGAGTCCCTTCCAGCCGCAAACCATCTCTGGGAAACATCCACACACACATTCACACACTACGGACAATTTAGCCTACCCAATTCACCTGCACCGCATGTCTTTGGACTGTGGGGGAAACCGGAACACCCGGAGGAAATCCACGCGAATGCAGGTAGAACATGCAAACTCCACACAGAAACGCCAACTGAGCCAAGGCTCGAATCAGTGATCCAGCGACCTTCTTGATGTGAGGCCACAGGTTCCTTTTATAGCACTGATGTAATTTATTGAAACTTTAATCAAGTTTATTATATAGCGTAAACTAAAAATGATAGACTCATTCAAATGCAAGCACCATCAGGAGTAGCAGGCAAGCGCAGAAACTCCATTGAAAATTCTGTAGATTAAGGTGTATGCATGAAGGCTGATTTATACTTCTGCGTTGAGTGGTCAGTGTGACCCACAGTGCCTGTGTTGCTTGTAGCCATGCCTTTGCATCTTTACGCTGTTTGTGTCGCTCTGCAATGACACTTCCGAAATGCCAGCTGGCAGTAAATTTTCATGTTCTTCTGTTTTGAGTTTCTTTGTGGGTGTTTGTTTTTTTTTATAAACGCTACAATTGCTCAAACTCTCTCAATCAGGGGCTGGAACTGGCAAACATGCAACAACTTTAATAATAAGGTAAAAAAAAATAAAAATCTCCAACAATTGCTCTATCGGGCTCGCGATTTTCAGCACAGCCACGCAGCGCCATGCATTTTAAAATTCTAAACATAGATTTCTATAGGGGTACGCACATTAGCGCCACAAGTCGGCGGCTGTCTGTGGTGCCCAGCTACAACTCAGGACACTGTTCATATTTCTGCCGCACCACAGAGCGCCATCTGAATAGTTTAATTTTAAATAACATGCGAATGTGCACGTCTGGTTCTGGTGACCTTCCCCTGAGCAGGTTAGCCATGCAGTATAATACCACAGTGACATGGAGCAAATTGCACTCAACAGAGGTAGTGACATCACTGTGAGGGGTAGGGTTAGAGCTTGGGTTAGGTGTGTGCATTAAAAGCATAGCATGCAGTCTCAGCTCGAATGTGCAACCAGTCTGCATCAAGACCTTTCTCACAGTTTCATGCCCTTAGCCATGAGGATCTGCATGTGTGGGCAAGTTTAGTCTTGATATAAAACTCTGACTGTTGCTTGTCGTCAACTCTTAGCCCCTAATTAGCTGGTTCATGTGAGTTTGATTAAGGCTAGAGGCAAATTTGCAAAACTGTGAACTTGCCGACTCTTGTTTTGTGGGAATACTCAACCCAGTTCTGTCAGCTGGCCAGCCTAGATCCATCCCTGTCATTTGGTCTGGCCAAGCGTGTGAGTTTCTACAGTTGTATGATTAGAAGCTGGTTCTAGACCATAAATGTCACACTGACTCTGACTAGCGGTGCTACATCATCTTGGTCCTTAAATTGATAACTGTACCTCAGCCCATTGATTAATTTATTTAAACACAAATAATTAGTATTTTATTGTGGCTGGAAAGGCATCCTATGTGTGAAACATATGCTGTATAAGTTGGTGGTTCATTCCACTGTGGAGTCCCCTTATAAAAAAGGGACTAAGCCGAAGGAAAATGAAAGAATGAATGAATGAATTAATACTTTATTATGTTAGTTTCAAACTATTTATGCCCAACAGACATGCTCTTGCAAGGCCCATGATGATGCATTTGCAAGCACAATAGACCCTTCCCAGCACTCATCAAATTTAAACAGATCTGCGCTTGGTAGCGCTTGGTAGCGCTTGGTAGACGAGTCTGGGCGGGACCGAAAGCCGCGCGAATGGCGCGACCCCGATAGTGCGATTGTTTACAAGTGTGGAGTCTTGTGAAGTAGCTCCGGATGGAAAGTTTTGTTTTGTGTTTACCTCATAGTTAAAGTTGTTGTACGTCCGCTGGTTCCTGCCTCAAAATGAGCAAGTTTGTGTCACTTGTACATTCAGGAAGTGTTCAGAAAAAACAAAACATCAGCGAAGAAACTCGCTGAAGAAACTGCCCACTAGCGCTTCAGAAGTGTTAATGTAGACCAACAGAGACAGCGCGCAGAAGTGTAAATGCACAGCTACGCGCGTTGCATGCGCCGTGGGTTATGCCGGTCACTTGACGCAGAAGTATAAACCAGGCTATAGTCTACAAATAAAGATGACTTGACTAATATAGTGGAAGCAGCTCTTGCTAGACAACACAACTGCTTACATAACCAGCATGTTATGTTAGTCAGCATTTTATACTGATATTTGTAATGTAATGCATATTTATATAGCACATTTATCATGTATTGCCACATACACAAAGCGCTTTACAATCATGAGGGGGGTCTCTCAACACCCCCACCAGTGTGCAGCATCCACTTAGATGATGCGACGGCCACCACAAGATATGGGGTAGTGCACTCACCACACACTAGCTATTGGTGGAGTGAAGAGACAGTAATTAAGCCAATTTGGTGGATGGGGATGATTGGGAGGCCATGATGGGTAAGGGCTTATGGAGGGAGTTTGACCAGGACCCTTGGGTTACACTTCTAGTCCTTATGAGAAGTTCCATTGGATTTTTAATGACCACAGTCATGAACCTTGGTTAGACATCCCATCGGAAAGACAGCCCTCTATGACAGTATAGTGTCCCTTTCACTTTACAGACACATTTAGACTAGGGATTGGGTTGAGCACCACCTGCTGACCTCACTATCACCACTTCCAACAGCAACCTAGTTTTCCCATGTGGTCTTCCATCCAGATGCTAACCAGGCACTGCCCTGCTTAGCTTCAGTGAGTAATTGGTCTTGGGCTACAGGGTTAAATGGCTGTGGCTGGGGTTTGGCAGGTTTTCGAGGACACTTCTAGTAATTGAAAATGTGTCAATTTGCCCTACTTGTAATATTCACATTTCTTTTGCTTCTTACCCAAGATGCTTTGCATAAATTATAAGATGCTTTGTTTTAGCAACTCAAAATTAGAATTGCTTTCTTCTTTCTACATAAAAAATACTACTAAATAATACATAATAAAAAGGCCATTTTTGAGATGGCATTGGCTTTAGAGTACAATATATAATGTTACCGTATGTTTTTCGCCAGCTGTTTTCAATGGACATCCAGCTGTTTTGTTTTGTTTGTTTTTTTGCCATAATTGGCTCAATTACACAAAATATTCACATCAGTTGGTGATTATACAACTGTGAAGCATAATTGACTGCATATTGAGTTCGAAAATAGGTCTGGTAAGTGATGTCATTTTGGTTGTGGAAAAATTAGATACATTCATGTTAAAGCAGTGACTAAATCAGCATACAGTACTATTATCTCAAAAACATTGCAAGAATTAGATGTGAGGACTTAGAGAAACTTGTTCATGCTTTTATCAGCAGCAGGATGGATTACTGTAATGGACTCATCACTGGCCTTCCCAAAAAGACAGTGAGCAGTTGCAGCTCATCCAGAACGCTGCTGCCAGGATTCTGACCAGAACCTCAGGTCTCAGGTCTTTACACTGACTCCCAGTTACACTCAGAGTAAATTTTAAAGTATTACTACTTGTCTATAAATCACTAAATGACCTAGGACAGGGCTATTTAATTAGTATGTCATGGGGGCCGGTTCATGAAAAGCATCCCAAACGAAGGGCCGGAGAGATATGAGTGATGACACAACAGCATATAAGGGCCCACATGCTGTTTATTTTTGCTCCTTAAGACAGCCTCGTTAGCTTTTTCTACATTAAAATGCTAATATATTGTATTTTGAAACTACATAATATCAGTGCATTGTACAATAGACTTTTTTTTTACAAACATTCAAATGTATTTCAGAGCACAACAAAAGCAGTGCATTGCTGAAAGAGGCTTCTTCTACATTCAGACACAGTCATATGTTATGTTTTGAACTGCATAACAATTAGGGATGCAACAATTATAGATTTTGGTTGTACAATTATATTGTGGGAAGAATAATCATGCTTTCACTGTTATCACGTCTAATGTAAATTCAAGCTTTATATTAGATAAGTAGCTATTTAGATTAACTGTTGTTGTTATCTGCATTCTTGCATACATAATCACTTTAATAATAATTTGTGTAACATATCTTTTGTTTACATTGCACTGAAAGATCACGCACAACTGTGCGTGAGATGTTTCACCGTGAGATGTTTTTTACTGCGTGCGCCCTGAAAGACGCAAGAGTGTCGCTCTGATGGCACCCGCATATTGTTATATAATCTTACATTAGAAATAACAAACTTGCAAGCGGAAAAGACGTGATATGGGAACGGCCGCTGCTATAGTTAATCCTGTGGGCGTGCGTATTAGCCTCGGTGTACTTCAAACTTAAAATAAGCGCACAGGCAACTTGGCATTCTGTAGCGGTTTCGTTTCATTCCGTGCAACAGTAATGTGGCTTAGAGAAGACTTTACTATTTATAAACTATGAATAATTAAAGAGCAGTTAATAGTGAAATCGTCTAATCGTTACATCCTTATTAATGATATCAGTGCATTGTACAAATAGCCTTTTCTACAAATATGTTTTCGGCTGCCCGCACCACTCGCTTATGGTGACTCACGCTCTGTGCAGCCTTTAACTGCAGCTTGTGCTGTTATTGAACAGACGCACGTAACTTCATAACTATAGCGGCCGTTTGTCGACTGAACTAAATTTATTTTTGATGTCTTGGTCACACTGTTTGGAGGGCCAGAACAAAGTGCCTCGGGGGCCGGATTTGGCCCACGGGGAGCCAATTGCCCCCCAGACCTAGGACCTCAAATACATTACATATATTCTCACTGAATGCAAACCTTATAGATCACTCAGATCACTAGGACGAAATTAAGATAGAAATTCTAAGGGTTTAGTCAAAGCAGGGCTAATCTACCTTCAGCTACTGCGCCCCCTGCTGCTGGAATCAGCTTCCAGAAATGATCAGATGTGCTCCAATATTGAGCACATTCAAATCAAGACTGAAACACGTTTCGCTGTGCCTTTACTGAATGAGCACTGTGCTACGTCAAACAGATCGCACTATTAGGTCTATTTTTTTTCTTTTTCATTCTTTTAAAACCTTTTTAAACACATTTTAATCTGTTTTTGTTCATTTTTATTCTTTGTTTTTATTTTCGTATACTTGTCTCTTTTATTCCTGTTTATGTAAAGCACTTTGAATATCCACTGTGTATGAAATGTGCTATATGAATAAGCTTGCTTCGCCTTGCCTTGCCTTATAGAGGTCCCATTATTCTCCTCACAGTTCATCCATAAGGTATTAAAAGGCAATTTCTTAGAATTTCACCATGAATAACTCTTTGAGTCTTTCTGCAGCAATAATGCAGGCAAGTGTTCTTGAATATTGCTGTACTGTAAAGCTAAAACGAAGCTAAAATAATCTGGAGAAACAAAATGCAAAAAACTTTGGCCACAACTAGGCTTGTACTACTAATGGTACATCCAATAGCAAGCGTATTGTAATGATATTTTAATGATGTGTAGAAACAAAGCACAAACCCAAACACATATGTCACTTGGTTTACACTATGTACTGTAAATGGATTATATTATTAATTGAAGTGATATGTTTCAGTTAGGTTAAATGGAAGTCACCCAAACCACAAGTGCAACCCATAATTTAAAATGCAGTAGTCACATGCAGATATTGAAGAAGTAATATGGAAAAAGTTTGGCACCTTTTTGGGGCCTTGTGTCAGTTTTTTCAAGCTTAAAAGCTCTTCACAGAAAATGTATGGAAATGGACATCTAACACTGTAAACTTCAAAAGTATGTCTTGTATTTCAAGAAAAAAAAAATAGTAATGCAGATTTAGAACGACATAAGCGTGGACACATGATTGATTTTCGGGTCAGCTGTTTCTTTAAAGGACAGAGTAAGGACCTCTCTGGAAACGGTTTGAGTTTCTGGTCAAAATTAAAAACGGATGGCTACCGGAGATCTTGCATTAACTGATATAGGATATCTATTACAAGCAGAAGTATTTGTGAAAAGCGTGATGCAAAGCAGATGTGGAATGTCAGAAAGAAATCATTATTGTTTTGTGTAATTGATGATGATTATATTCGTACCCTTTCATGATGACCTCCCACTTGCCTTGCTCTTTGGTGTTTATATAATGGAAAGGTCCAGTGTGGTAATTCGGATCTGTGCCCCCCAGCACCAGCTCTCCACCAGGGATATGTGTTGGGTCCCTTATAGATACAGACAAAAATAAATGTTTTAGTATACGTCTGGCTTGCAACCAGGTATTTTTTAATGATTTATTAGTACATGTACGCATTAAGCACATTTAAAATTGAGCTTTTCAAATATGCTCTGCTTGAAATGTTACTATAGAATTACATAAAAACAATTCTATAGTATGTTAAATTATGTAATTTTTATAGCTTTACCTTATGCTCTTCACAGCAGCATTTAATTAAAAAAAATCAATCTATTAAGTTGTAATTATAGTTAAAAGTTGTTTTTTTTTTTTTTTTTTTATTTAAGGCAGTAATTTGCCCAGTCTTTAGAATTCTAAAATGTCTAAAATATCATAATAATAATTATTAGCAATTTTGAAAGCAATTACGGCGATCAATAGTTTATTTGAAACATTTAGAATATTGAGGATTAAAGGAATATTTAAATTTGAATTTATTTTATTTAACAGGTACAATGCTCATTAATAAAAAGTAAAACTGTAAATAAGCCAGAGTTAGCCACAAAGGCTAATTTTCATCTGTTCCCCCCTGCTAGATTTTAAAAGGCAATCTAAAATCAAAATACACATCATTATACAAAAACAGTAAACTTACAAATGACAAAGAGATATGTAATGATAATTTCTTATAATTGTAGACAAAAGAATTACACATGATTACAAACTTGATTTTTAGCCATTTCTTTAACTTGTATTTAAAAGTTGAATAATTATATTAGTTTAAAAAACATATTCAAAAATTTTATTTAAAAAAAACTGATTATTTAATAATATTTTGTAACAATGTAAACGTCCTCTAATATATCATTATTGAACAACTTATTGCAACTAAAATAATAAATGATAAAATTCTGAATTATTCAGAATACAAATTAATACAAAATATTTAGTGTCTTATGTTAGTGTCAATTTCAAGACTAATAGTTGTCAAAAAATGTTAAGAAATTCTACTTTATACTGAGATGATAACAGTATCCTTTTCAAAACTTGCACAAAGACTAATTTTACTAGGTTGCATTTCAGGCCCCCAGAATGCTGTTGTATACATAAATGGCCCATATTCATAAAAAGTTTTACCTTTTTAAGTAAAGTCCCTGTGAATTCAAAAAGTATTCAGATGTTTGTATCAGTGCGTTAGTCTTAAGGATATATGTAATCCAGTGTATCCAAAACAGCGACAGAATTTGCATTTGCAGTTTGTCCCTTCCACCTGTAAATATATCAAGTTTTTTTTTTTTTTATGTCACCTCATACTTTAGTTACTAATCATATCTTCTGACTAATGATTAATTCAGATGGATTGGTACTGTTTAGTCTTCAGTAAACCATTCGATTCTATAGAAAATAATTTCAAATTTTATACCCTAAAACTATTTGGATTTGGCAGAACTTTTATAGATACTACAAATATGTTTTATAAAGATATCAGCAGCACATTGATTGATAATTTTGATACCTCAAGGTGGTTAAAAATTTATCGTTCAATGTTTATCGAAGAATTAGGGGCTGCCCAATCACCTCATTTTTATTTATTTTTTGCCAGAGTTACTTTGGCTAAGAATTAACCAAGATCATGATTTAAAATGAATTTTATTTTTGATAGGGAGATTAAAATTGAAAAACCTGTTTATTTTCATTAGAAGTTCTAGTAAATTGAAACTGTCAATCCAGTTTTCAGAGTTGAAGTTCAGTTTAGTTCAGTTCAGTGTGGTTTAATTTTCACTGCTGAATTCCAATCACTGAAGAGCAATCTATTGATGCACAGCTCTCCAAGTCTCAAACCAAGCAAGCCAGTGGTGACAGTGGCAATGAATTCAGCAATTGACGAAAGTAAAGGAAAAAAAACTTGAGAGAAACCAGGCTCAGTTGGGCAAGACCAAACTTCTTGTGCAGAGCTGCAGCCTAGGCGCCGGAACCTAGAGAACGCTGGACGTCCATCGTGAAGGTGTCCATTATTTTTTCATGAGACCACATTTTTCTGATAAAATTAGCTAAATATATCTTTAATGCATGGCTTCAGAGAGATCTTTCTCTATATATGGAATAGTTCTATCTAAGGCGAAAGGCTTCTCTCGCTTTGTATACTCTTTCTTTGTTTATTGTTTAAAGCTATAAAGGAAATTAATATTTTTGAGTTTCATCTGGAAAAAATACACCTTATAAACTAAAAGAAAAAAAAGAAATGCTTTCTAACCCTAAGAGCAAAGGAGGCTTGGATTTTCGGAATTTCGAAAATACTGTGAAAACCTTTCAAGTAAACTGGTTGAAAAGATGCCTTGCAAATCCAGTATCAAAGTGTTTTTTCATTTCTAATACTATATTTAATAGTCTTGGTGTTCTATACATTTTTTACTGAAAAGTAATTTCCTGCCTGGCAAGTTACTTGTTTCTTTATCCAACTTTCATCAGCAATGTCTTCTTTAGCGGAAAATCAGATTTGATGGCTTCTCCTCGACAGAATATTTCTTTGAAATAATTCCGACCTAATTATGACAGAAAATAAAGTTTATAACAAAAATAAAGTTTTTTTTCTCTCTAGGTGGTTTAATAATCATTTCAGTTGTATTTTTATCTGTGTTCAATGATGTTGGCAAGCTATGAGCAATTCATGAATCTCTGTAACTTTCCAACCCCATAGAAGCTAATTCAACCAGTTTAAAACAGTTAGTTAAAAATTATATTTTGTTTAATAAAGCTAACGGTGATTATACAGCTCTACATTTAGGTGGGTAACACTTTATTTTGATGGTCCATTTGAGTATTAGTAGACTGTTTGCTTAATATTGTTTGATGCTGTTCCTTCAACAGACATTTACCTGACTATAAGAAACTTTGCAAGTGCATGTCAACTTACACTAACCCTAACCCCAACCTAACAGTCTACTTATAATCTAATAAGAATTAGCTGCAATTTAATTTAATTTAAAAAAATGGACCATCAAAATAAAGTGTGACCATTAAGTGTTATTGATATTTTAGATTGGAAGTGTAATAACAGCCACATTTGCTAATTATTTGGACTGAAAAGAATAACCCCCAGATATGAATTCTTCTGGGGGTTTTTTATATGTAAGCGCGGAAAGCATTTTCTAATAAGGTTTTTAATTAATAATGAATAAAGATGAGATTCATATTAACATTTTTTTTCACAAAATGTATTCTGTTAATTTATCCATTTAGCATGCTACAGTTGATTTGGTCATTTGCCATTAGTTCCCTATTAGTTTTTTGAACGTGGTGTTGCAAACAGATTTTGTGTTAAGTTAAGCTCTCATATTTTTAGGTTTAAAAATGTGACTGTCACAGTGACCTGCGATCCAGCCTGTGCAGATTACTGGTATACACACAGATCACTAACGGACTACAAATCCGATATTTCAAGAACTACAAGTTTCAGTCAAGCACCACACACACACACACACACACACACACACACACACACACACACCGGTTCCTGATCCCATTTGATTACTCAAACAGCTGAAGCTGCACAAGACTGATTAGTTGGATTATTTAAACAGCACACAAACACGCATACTTTGCTGAGTCTTGTTAAACCAAATAGTGAACATTACGACGCGTTTTCATTTTCTTGCCTTCTGTGTTTTGCTTTGTTTGTTTACATGGCTCGCTGCCTGTCTGTACTGACCATTTGCCTGCTAATTGACCATGACTCTGAATTGCCTATTTACATCTGTTTGCTCCTGTGTTGACTGTTGCTTGCCTGACCATTCCCTGCATAATAAACCCTGCATTTGGATCCGCACCTCCCTTGTGCATGACTTTACATTAGTGACACATTTTGTAATGTTTTTTGTCCTCAGAGATGTTTGTTTTATTATGAAATGCTAAATATTATCTGTTAAATTCATTGTAACTTATTTTAATATTTATTGCAAAATGTTTTATTTGTATATAAAAAAAATGGCTTAAATCTTTATTTTTTTATACACTACTTGACAAAAGTCTTGTTGCCTATCCAAATTTTATGAACAACAAATAATAACTTGACTTCTAGTTGGTCATTTGGCATTAGTAGTGGCTTATTTTAAAAGCAAAAGCCTCTCGAAAAAAAATATTTTAGCAAAATAAAATATGATCATGCCTTGATTTAAAAAAAAATTCATTAGGACAGTGAGGTCTGACTTGCTTAGACAAAAGTCTTGTCACTTAACAGAAATAATGTACAGTACAGAATATAAAGTAATGGTGCAGTGGAAAATGAATTAATATTTTGAATGACTTCCATGAGCTTGGACTGCTGCATCCATACATCTCTGCAATGACTCAAATAACTTATTAAAAAAAGTCATCTGGAATGGCAAAGAAAGCGTTCTTGCGTCCCTAAGTTCATCCAGACTCTTTAGATTTATCTTCTATGCCTTCTCCTTCATCCTACCTCAGACATGCTCAATAATGTTCATGTCTGATGACTGGGCTGGCTAGTCCTGGAGCACCTTGTCCTTCGTTGCTTTCAGGAACTTTAATGTGGTGGCTGAAATATGAGAAGGAGCGCTATCCTGCTGAAGAATTTGCCCTTTCCTGTGGTTTGTTATGTAATGGTCAACACACGTCTTGAAACCTCAGGCTGTTGATGTTGCCAACCACTATACCCATCTACAAGTGTTTGACTTTCTTGTTTTGTCTCTTAAACTTAAAAAGAACAAGAAAAGCACAAAATGTTTGACATACCTAATGATAACCTTTTTAAGGACAAGCTATAATCCCTTTTTGGGCTTTTCTTTGTTTTTGCCCTATGTAATAGCGTGATTCATGTAATTTTCTTTTTCTTTGTATTTTATTATTACACTTATAAAATAAAAAACTATGTTTTATCTCTCTATTCTTGCATGATTTTTTAAATAAATCTTCCGACCAATCAAATGCTCTATAGTATCTCACATGCCCCGCCACCTTCAAGACATTTTTCATTTGATGCTCTTGAGCTCAACCTCTCTCACTGGCATATCTGTCATAAAAACCACACACTATTGGCTGTTTTTTTTTTTTTTTTTTTTTTTTTTAAGAGTGGAGGAGCTACCCTATCCTGCCCTGTCTTCATCTTTACATAGAAATTATGTCACAAATCGAACAAATCTGCACATTTTAAAGCACTTCACATGACCTTTAACCATTTCCTCTATCATGAAATTTGTCTGTCTCACTTTCTTTGCTACTATACATAAAGGCTGATGCTCACCTGCTGTAGTACACCGAGAAAACATTCTCTTTCAGAACATGCTGAGACATGATCCGATCAAACACAGGAGTAATTCCATCAATGGCCACATCTGGATAGCCCATTCCTAGCACTCCATCAAATTTGGCAAAGATGAAGGGGATTGCAGGAAGAGCTGTGGCTTCTGCAAAAACCTGCACCACTGGGATACCGCCCACCTAAAGAGGAGAGAGGTCAAGTCATTTCCTTTTTGTAATTATGGTTCTTGTCCTTACACACTATAAGCATTCCATCTGTATTGCAGGTCAAATATGGTGCATAAGAATCTGGACTTGGTTGTGCATAAATCTCGAAACTCTGTACGACTTGGCAATCTAGATGACTAACAATATATTTCGCTTGATCCGATGAACCATAAAAATACCATCCTAGTGCACGCATTCCATTAAAAATCATTTGATGAATCAAGATTTATAATAGAAAATCTGTGTGAAAATTGATTTGTGTTACTCACCACAACCACGTCCTCACTCAGAAAGCCCCGGACATTTCCAGAAGCATATTGGATGGAGAATCCTGTGCCGTTGAAAATATGTGTGAGGGATTTGGAAGCATCATATCTGTTGTGTGTGACTAAAAAAAAACAAATAAAGAAAGGAAGATGCAAATGTGCAATTGTTGGTTTAGTTTTTAGACATGTACACTGTAAAAAAAATGTATCTAAGTTGACAAATTTGAATTTAAATTTTCATATTTTGTGATTTGTATTTTTTTTCCTTGAAAAGTTAGAAACAGTGACTTTTAGTACCACACTGTAAACCCTAATGTTGTCTTTACTTAAACAATCAAGTAAAGTTGACAGAACATTACTTAAAATTTAGCATTTTGGTCTTGTCACATAAAAATATGAGTTAATTTAACTTATATGCAATGAAAATGCATACATTTAAGGTTTCACGTATAGTAAGCTCAAAATCAATATTAATCCTTTAAAAAAAAATAGGTCGTTTTCAATGCAGTCTTGACTCTAAAATTTTAACATGTGTAACCTTTTAACATTATCTTTTTTTAATCAGAAAACAAGGCTTTGTGTATATTTATTCACCATATTGGGAATAAATGGCTACTTATTTTTCTTTTATATATTTCTTCATAGTATATAATTACATACACAGACACTGAACTGAACAATTTAATCTACCAAACTGGCAAGTTAAATAAACTTAAATATGCAAGTTTTGGGAGGCTCCGTAACTCTATTAAATTGAGGCAACGAGTTTGCTCAATTAATTTCGCTCAGTCAACTTATTAGGGTTTTCAGTGCATATTTAATAAGTGATAGTTTGTCTGGGTTGGTGTATATTATGCTGCAAAAAAACTGGTAATAAGCTGCCAATACATTTTCTGTTATTTTACAAACTTAGTTCTCTATATATTATATCTTAAGCAATATCTTGTTTCTCAATATCTTGAGTTGAATTGTTAACATCAAAAGTCGACAGAGCAGAGATCAACATCCTATAATGCAATTCACAACAGTAAATAAATGGAAAACACAAAATATGGTGTATTTTTACAGTGTAGATAATATGTGACCCTGAAGAACAAAAACATTAGTCAAGTATCTTTTTTTTTAACTCATCTGATGTAATTATTATACATTATATAAGGCATTATACATCACCTGAAAGCTGAATAAATTAACATTTCCATAGTTACACAATTTATTCATGTTGTCGTAACACAAATTAAGTTCATTTCATTTTGTTGTCGGCTTAGTCCCTTTATTAATCCAGGGTCGCCACAGCCGAATGAACCGCCAACTTATCCAGCAAGTTTTTTACGCAGTGGATGCCCTTCCAGCCACAACCCTGTTGTTTCAGCTCATTTTAAATAAGTAGTTTGAACAAGCAGCAGAAATCTTTTTTTTTTTTTAATTGCAAGATAATTGGCTGAGATGCAACTATTCAAATTCCGAAAATCTAAATCTAAATATTTAGAATATTCTATTTAAAGCTTTTAAACTGAAGTGCTTAGCAGTGCATATTGCAAATAAATATTAGGTTTTGACATAATTTACAGTACACTGTAAACCTTGTCATTACTAAAGATTTTATTTACTGTAACTTGACATTACTTAAAATACCAAGTTTTGGTATCAAAACTGTTTAACCTAATCAATGGACAGGAAAAAAAATTTTGATTAATATTTTAAGTTCTCTAAACTTATATAATTTTTATTTCTTCAAACAATTCATCAAGTCTCTGTTTAAAATGATTGGTTGTGCTTGAAATTCTGCCTTGACAACCGCACTGCTTGGTCGATATATGTTATATGACATAAGGTCATCATTTTGCTTGTGAGGCTGAATTTTGCTGAAGCGCAGCAGGACAGTGGCACTACCTGAACCCATCTGACGAAAGAGAAAAGTTAGTAGATTCATTTATAAAGATGCAGGGTTGACATGGTGGTACAGTGGGTACCGCTGTCACCTCACAGCAAGAAGGTCGCTGGTTTGAGCCCCCGTTGGGTCAGTTGGCATTGCTGTGTGAAGTTTGCATGTTCTTCCAGTGTTTGTGTTGGTTTCCTCTGGGTGCCCTGGTTTCCCCTGGGTGCCCTGGTTTCCCCCACAAGTCCAAAGACATGCGCTATAGAGTAACTGAGTAAGCTAAATTGTCTGTAGTGTATGTGTGTCTATCCTCCACCAGGTTGGGGGTTGATGGTCGGGCTATCGACTTACCTCATAAAAATTGGATGTTATGAAACACCAACATGGTGCAGCTAAATATCAACTTCGATATAAATGGCGAGTGAGTAAGTAAATAATATAAAAGCTGAACAAATTAGAAGTTTCATCTATTAGCCATCTATACTTAAACATTTAAGTTAATTCAATGTAGAGAGCACATTTGGTCAACTCAGTTAATTGAGTTATCCATTTCCCATAACTTAAACAAACTAAGGGAATCATTTACCTCAAATCATTCAAGTAGTCTGAACTTATTAGAATTCACAGTGTGGGAAATATAAAAAAAAAAAAAAAAAATCTTCATGGAATATTATATTTACTTAAGACCCTAATTATTGTTTAAATACAAGATAAAATCTATCAGTTTGAACCATACAATATATAGCCAAATATAATTGTGTGACTGGTTTTGTGGTCCAGGGTCAAATTTTACAACAACTACTCTGTAAAAAATATTTATTAATTCATTTATTATTTTGTGATTCAAAAGTGTTTTCTATATTCACAAGTGTTTTATTTACGGTTGCTTTTATGTGAGCTGCATTATAAGATGTTGATTTCTGCTCAGTTGACTTTTAATGTTGAAAATTCAACTATGCACTTTAACAAAGTGACTTTTATTGACATTGTAGTAGTTAAAAAATGTGTAATGTGATGTAATGTGACAGAAATAATATATAGAGAAATAAGTCTGTAAAATAACAAAAAATCTACTAGCAGTTTATAACAAGTTTTTTTTAAGCCTAATATACAACACCAACAAAGACAATATATCAATTCAAACTATTAGAAATGATTATAAAGGTTACTTTTTTTTTTACTTTTCAAGGTTAAAAATTGTTGGAAAAAAGATTCCCATAATGCCAATATGGAAAATTGCTAATTTACAGATATTTTTTTATAGTAAGACTTACAGCAGGCTGTGTATAAAGGAGAACAACTGTGTGAGGGAACCCAGAGATTGGCAGAACCCGTGTCGAACACAACGTTGAACATCTGAGCTGGTGAACCAATGCTGATTTCACCAAAATATTGAGTCTGAAAAACAAGAAAACTGTAAATTACATGTACTGCATACAGGCGCTGAAAATGTATTTCTATCCAGTAATTACATCTAAGTAGTTGATCAGAGGTGTCGGAGCTGTGCCGTTTGTGGGTGATGGTTCTTGATATTTTGGCATAATCTCAGATAACACTTGAGCTGGTGTGACGCTCATTTCCTTGAGAGTTTCTCGTATGGAAGGCATTTTCTTCAGTTTTACCCTAGAGAGAAAGTTGTGTTGCTTTTATTTATTATTTTGTTTTTGGATATTTATATTTAAAAACATCAAGAATACAAAGTAGTGAAATATGATATCAGCCAACAACATGTAATGACTATTGATTTCAAGCATTCTTCAAAACACTATAAACCAAAAAAAAAAAAAAAAAGTCATACAGGTTTGGAGCAAGAAGGGGATGAGTAAATGTGTGAAAATGACAATTTTGTGTACAATTGTACTAAAATTTTAATTTTAGTACATTTTAGTATTTAAAAAAAAAACTTTCCCTTTAAATAGCATTTTGCTATCTATTTTGACATTTGAAAATTTAATACTGTCTCTAATTTAAATTTAAAAAACAAATTTCCATAAGTCATTTACATATTTGCAAAAGGTATTTAGCATATATTTGATATTTGCCAAAACATTTGCCATAAAAAAACTAAAATTGTTGATTAGCTGTTTATTTTTTCACATAATATAAAATATAAAGGTTTATTTTTAGTGCTGCACAATGATTAATCATGATTAGTCACATCCAAAATAAAGATTATATATATTCAAATAGATGTATAATTTTTATCATACATCACATACACACACACACACACACACACACACACACACACACACACACACACACACACACACATACATATTTATATATGTAAATATACATTGCTCAGCATAAATGAGTACATCGCCCTTTTAATTATTATTTTTGAGCCATTTCTCAGTGAGTATAGCCAATATTTTTGGCGCGTTTAAACAATAAAGTTTTATTAAACAGTTATATTCATTAAAAATAAAAGTTTGGTCTCCAAACATCTTAGAAAGATAATACATTTAAATTTTAAAGAGTTATTGCAAAAATAAAATTTCAAACTACAAAACCTCCAGTAAATTATTTATTTTATTTGTTTATCTAGTTTTTTTCCTTTTTATTAATTTTACACCAACATAGTTTTTTTGATGTACTAATTTCTGGTCTGTGATCTTACTTATTTTTTAGATGGTTCCAGTTTGAGCTTTGATACTGACAAATCTGTTATGCACAAATATATTATTGTAAAGCATCCTATGGAAAATATTAAGTTAAAAGTGTTCTAAACTTATTTATGCTGAGCACTGTATGCCTACAGTTTATATACATAATCAATACACATACAATATATAATGCAAATACAAAACTTTATTTTGGATGCAGTTAACTGCAGTTAATCTTTTCTTGTCCAAAATTTTAAATAAATAAAAAAATCTCTAAGCGCCCTTTTACTTTGCCTTACATTCCCCAGACCCCACTTGGAAAAAAAACTTACAGTAGTTAAGCAAGGAAAGATATTTAACAATGAGTAAAACAAATGTCCACCTGCACATGCAAAAAGACTTCAATGGTACATGATGTTTAAATAAGCTGCTCCTAAACTCCAGTCAGAACTCTAGCACTGCACATGTCTATCTTATTTTACATACAAGGGCCTGTTCATGGAGTGTCTGCTTACAAGCTTGTGATATAAATCAGGTGTGTTAAATAAGCAAGACATGCAAAATGTGCAGAGCAGAAGAGGCCCAGAAGTTGGCCCGCAGTTGGAAACTACTGCTTTAAACCATGTTACTGTTTTATCATTATATAGCTATTATTATGGACATACAGTACTGTACCATATTACATTCTTTGATTCATGAATAATTACTTTTGTGCCATGATAAAATACCAAAGTTATGAGAAAACAAACAGCAAAAATATAACCAAGCAGGATGTTGTTTTCCATTTAGGAGGAATATGTTCACTTACCTCCATAAGGCCTTTGTGCTGATCGCTGAGAGAGACAGAATAAGAAGAGTCAAGCAGTGGATTTTCATTCTCACTGATGGATCTATTCACTGTCCAGTTACTCCGGCCACACGTTTTATGCTTCAATGCTCTTATACCCACTTGTTCGTAAACTTCTCTTTTACTGCGCTTTATTTAAGAGACTTTCCTCCTTTCTGTGTTTTTATACTATTTCTCTTATATATGCTCAGTTTGACCTTGACACAAACCCTTAGCTTTCTCTGTCCTCTAGCCCACCCCACCACCCCTTTCCTTCTGATAAATGCTCCGTGAACAGAGTGACCTCTTGTTCCAGGGGAACACATCACACACTGTGATTTAAGACCACTTCAATTAATAAATTCGTTCTTGTGTGGCCTTAAAGAATGTTTTGGGAATGTTTAGGGACAAAAGAATGTTTAAAAATATTAAATTCATTCAATTGTAGTTGTTAATTTTGTTGTTGTGGTTGTAGTTGTTGATTTAAAAAAAGGAGTGAAAACTAAATATTTAACTATATAAAAAGTAGTACAGGTACATATCTGGGTGTCACGGTGGCACAGTGGGTAGAACAATCGCCTCATAGCAAAAAGGTCGCTTGTTCAAACCCTGGCTGGATCAGTTGTCATTTCTGTGTGGAGTTTGCATTTTCTCCCCATGTTTGTGTGGGTTTCCTCGAGGTGCTCCGGTTTCCGCTACAGTCCAAAGACATGAGCTCTAGGTGAATCGAATAAGCTAAATGTTCCATAGTGTATGTGTGTAAATACAAGAGTGTATGGGTGTTTCCCAGTGATGGGCTGTGGCTGGAAACCCATCTGCTGCGTAAAAAATTGGCTGGTGTTTCATTCCGCGGTGGCAACCCCTGATTTATAAAGGGACTACGCCAAAAAAGAAAATGAATGAATAAATGAGGTACATACAGTATTTTTAAATTCTCGCTGGTCACTTTATTACCGATTTAATGCTCCTTAAAGCTGCCATATATTCATTGTTGATATCAACATAGAAGGTATATGGCTTAAGTAGGTGCAAACATTATCCAAATATGGTTTTACAGATAGATTTTTCCTTTTTTAATTGGCCCTATATATGATATGGTTGGTTTTGACCATATTTGGAAGGGTTGTAAATGTTAATGAGCTCTACTTATGTTAGTGCGTGACCCTCACAGAGGAAAGTACTGTGAAATATACATGTGTAAAATAACCATATTTTAGTTGTCAACAACTTTTTTTTTTTACAAATTGAGTATATTTGAGTATCGATAAATTAATTGTTTCAGGTAAAGTGATAGAGAGGTTTATTTTAGCTAGAAGGAGTGAGTGTGCAATCTTTATGTCAGCCACGTGAACCTGTTTGCTTCTGGGTTGTGTTGTGAATGAAATATAGGCCTAATTATTCTTAACAAAAAGGACAGACAGAGATGTTGACAACAGAAAGTTGCATTTTGTAGGTTTTAATGTATATGAAAACAGAGGCAAGCGTTTAAATCAACCACCACATAAACAAGTGTGCTTTTTGTTAAATTTATTGGCATCCTCTCACTTCGGAAAAATGACTGTAAGAGCTGAGTGATATGGCATGATTCATCAATGTTTATATGATATTTACTAGTTTATTACAAACATACACTTGTATGTTCCTTATTCTAAACATACAGTTTGTGGCAAATTTCATAATATACATTAAACTAACAAATGACAATTTAAAAACAGACCTTATGCCTCTTCAGGGTGGCATTGAAATTATAATCTGTATATCTCACGTTGCATCCTGATGTGCTGTGGTCATTCTTTGACAATGCATAGCAGTTTGCTTCACAAAACTTCTCCTTTATAGGGGCCAATTAAAGAATAAGTTTTCAGTTCTGACTTTTTGTTGAAAAGAGCAGTGCACTCTTCGTTTTATGTTGCTAGGTATCCACTGGATAAACTATCTTGATGAATAATGTCAGGCACTTTTTCAACTGCAGGTTCACAGAACTCTAAATCAAAAATGCAAGGTGCAACAGGTAGTAACACACAGCTTCCAGGATGCATTAACATTGCACATCACTCAACGATGCAATGTCAGACACAATGCACTCAATGGAGTGAGTGATGTCACTGTGACGGGTAGGGTTAGGGGTGGGGTTAGGTGAGTGCGTTAAAAAGCATTGGATGCAGCTCAGATTGCACTGCACCAGGTCTGCATCCAGACCCCTCTCGTTTCCGTTAAGGTGACAGCAATGTTTGTGTTGTCAAGACAACTTTGGACTTTTAAAGACGGAGAAGAAACTAGTGGCAAAGATCTAGGAATAACCAAGAGGCGGCAATCAATAGAATGTTCCACTGCAACAGCAGCGCACAGCAACAGCCTTGGATTCCGCCATTTTGGAGTGGCTGTCCACTGGATCTTATTGCTGTCGTGATGGCAAGCAGCTGCTTTGTTTTTTATTTATTTGAAAAGTGCATTAAAGCTGAGTTCCAACCTGAAAGATGACAATAAAACACTTACTATCACAATCATAAGCAAATTTAATAGTTTATTTTACAGACCTGCTGTTGTTCTATTGGAGTTTTCATTCCAAAATGGCTGCTGTGCCATCTAGTGGCTGTTTCCCAAATCGTACTAGAGTGTTGCCTCTTGGTGATTTTATGCTATTTGCTAGTGGTCACCGTTTCAAGTTATTCAGAGATGTATGACTGAAATCAAATTGTGAATCTCACAATATTATAACACATTATATATAACACACTCTCACGGCAATTCGTAACTTTTTGATTTAGTGGCTAATTCATATGAATTCGTAGGATCTAATTCATACAATTTAGTATGATTTGCTCATAGCCCAAAGACGGTTGGGGTTAGGGGTGGGGTGCCACTACTACTTTTTAAAATCATACATTTTCGTACGACTGAACTCGTATGAATTCGTACAACTTAGCCCCTAAACTGACAAAACGTAAAATACTTTTGTTTCCTCATGAGATCAGGCTGAATTGGCCCCTAACTCTTCCTTAAAGCCTGTCAGATTTCAAAATAAGAGGCTCACATACAAAGATAAACCTACAAACTAGGGGGCAAAATATTCATTGTAATCAAAACAGGAAATGTTGTGGCCAGTCAAACATTACATATTTTCATTTGCAGATTATCATTCTATGGCAACTCTAAATTATCTTAGATCTAATAGTCTCAGCTCAAACAATTTCCAACTGTAAACGTAGATTAAAGACATGTATCTTTGCTTGAAATGTAATGAATACACTATTTTTTTCTCGATTTGCTTTCAGTCTCTGCCTCTGGAAACCCATCCTGTGGTAGCTGAAACTGTCAGCTTCAGTTAGGATCCAGATTCTCACAAAGGTTTCAGATGACCTTAAAATCTGATGTGATGACAGCACGCACAAAAACCTCACGTGCAAAAACTTTAAATCAACTTAGCCTAAAAACCATTAGAAAATCCTTATTTTATAATCATGAATTTAAACATGTTTATCGTACTTAAATAAATGCATTATTGTTTTATTCCAGAATTAGTAATATTGACATTACGTACATACTGTAAATACTTAAATATAACATCTGACACATTATTCTTCATTTCTAACTATAGCAACATGATTTTTTGAAGTAAAGCTGCTTTGAATTTATGTACATATCGGGGATGTGCTGTAATGGGAGATTAACAACACTCCCTTTCAAATCAGCAGCAGTTGCTTGACACTGTTATGTTAATGTGGACCAAAAAAATCTAACAATCTAACCCTTACTTGTTTAATATTTACCCTTAAAAAATAAAGGTTTTCAAACTGGATGCTAGCAATGTGCAAAGTGGCTAATGAGTGTATTTTATAACATATTTTTAAATTTCATGTAACTGATATGCGAGTTTATTTGTTTGACTGTTTGTTTTTTAGACTATTTAATTTTTAAAAATTCAGAAGAACACCATTTGTTTGAAAGGTACTTTTTTGTAACATTGTCTTAACCATCATCAAAATGTTATGTGTGTGGTCTTGCATTTACATCAATGACCACATCTCTGAAACACTGCTGACGTTATTGGTTTGTTTTTAAGGGCAGTGACTGGCATGCAACTCTGGAGGATCCTTGACCTTTAAGCTTAGGGCCAACTTGGAACCCAAAAAGTGAGTTTCCCACAGTAATGGGCAATGCCCAGTCCCCTTCTACAAAATTCCCTCATGAGAATCTCCATAGTTCGATGCTATCACTGAATTCTGTTTTAATTAAACATGAATGGGCTGAATTTTTAAATGGTATTAGTGATGCCAATCAGTTTGTACAATAATGAACCACTTCTGAAGAAGTAACATAATCCTGCCTAAAGATAAACTACACCTGCACTTTGTCTTATGATGTTCATACTTTGTCATTTGATGACATTTAATATAGTTGGAGAGGAACACGACAACTGGCATCTTATTTGGGCTTACAGCTGGTCCATCACATGCCTGTGAAACCGCCTACAGTGACTAAAACATAAGTAATGTAAGACAGAACCCACTGGTTATGTTATTTGAGATTATATTTTAGAATTCATGCTAAAATATGCGGAGCACCTGCCATATTCAATTGACATCAGAGCCGGATAGGAACCCAGAAGTCCCTGTGTGTCTTGTGTAGAGTTCTTACTTACATTAACTTCTATTTAATTTCAGTTGAAATCTAGTCTAGTCTAAAATCTAAAGACTTTGTAAACCCCATGAAATAAAAATTACTACTAATAATAATAATAAATAATTGAAACCCCCACTTTGGCAAAAAGTGCACATGGGCCCTTGTGCCCCCAAAATCTGGCCCTGATTATCACTAATAAACGGCATTAGGGGATATTCTACCAGAAACATACATTTTCACTTATAAAAAATGTGACAGGGCCTGACTTTTAAGCTTGTCTACATGAAAAATAGTACAAAAGCAAGCATAAAATTACACAATTTAATGATAAAACGCATCCTTGATCACTGTCAGCTTCTCAAATGATGTCACTTTCTTTGATTCAGAGCCTTAAAGATATATTGCATGCATTTTATTATAAATTTAATGTAAATGTAACAGGACTGACAGAAACATGAGGACAATTGTACATTTATTTGTATTATTTATTTGTATAATTTATTTATAATTTCATATTTATAATCAATTGATGTGAACAATAACAACTTAAACTTGCTATTTCTGAAGTATTTTTTTCTAAATAACAGTTTTTAGCATAGCAAAACTATTAAAGCTGTAGGTTCAATTGTGCTAAGGACAAGGACAATGACAAAGTTTGTACATTTGTTACGTGTTTTAATTAAGAACAAAAATCTGAGAACATAATGAACGACATATTCCTTTACTGAACAACTTACAGAATCCAACCATCAGTCCATTTTAGAAATATTTGGGATGAAATACTTTTTATTCACTGTATTTATGTTTTTAATTTCAGGGACAGATAATGTACACTTTTGGTGGAATGTCCCTTGCGTCTATAAAGTAATAGTGAACTAGTCAGCTGTTGGATGCCACTTCTTATCAACACTTGCCACTTTTTTTCTAATATGATGATTTGGCACTTGCTGATGTTTTTCAAATGAACAGCTGCCCAATGGATATCTGGTTGCACTAACCCATTTCAACCACTAGATGTCGTATTAGAAAACTGGTATAAGGCACACCGATATAACATAGATACAACACCTGAAATGATCAATTCCTGCATCTTTACGCATATTTATTATAAAACCTGCGACAAAGTAGCCTACTAAACAACAAAGGTGTTGATTTTGAGAGAGAAAAGTCATTGTATTCTCCTATGTTAGGTCAGCACTATCGAAATAGCATTTAAAAAGTAAGATAAATGACTTAGGACGTTGCACAAACCGAGTTAACACGTCTTTAGAGCAATTGTCAAATTGTGACAACAGACTGGCCTACTTCTTTTTCTATAAAGGGGAACTAAATTTTGATATATGGCAATGAAGGGCTATTGAAAACTATTGAATCTATGTAGCAATTTGTGCGACCCAGTATTTAGTTAGTTTTTCCCTGCTGAAAAAAATAGCTTAAACCAGCCTAAGATGGTAGGCTGGTTTTAAGCTGGTCAACAAAGGGTTATGGCCATTCACAGCATGGTTTAAGCTGGACATAGCATTTTTTGGCAGGTCTTCTCCCACCCAGACCAGCTAAGGCCAGACTGGAAATGGCTAGAACTTCTTTACTTTAAAGCCAGCTAAAATCAGTCTACCATCTTAGGCTGGTTTAAGCTGTTTGTTTGTTTGTTTTTTTTCAGTAGGGTTGCAGTAGAGTTCATATGCTACGTAAGTTGGAACTAAGCTGGTTGCATATCACATACAAACACTCCTTAAAAATATACACGTTTGGGTTTTACCAGACAACTTAATCTTATTTATCTTATTTATTCCCCAGCACAACCACATCCGCCCCACAGTACTATGTAGCATCTCTTCACGGAAAGTGTCAAGTGGTGCTCGCGTGCGCTTTCACAACCGTGTGGCGGAAGTGACGAATAGGCTGTTCAGCTGATCGTGAGAGTTGTGCTCGTGCATTCATTCAAACGGCTGACTTCTGGAGCGCGCGCAAGGAAAGGGTTGATTTCCTTCGAGCTCAAATTCATGTTTCATCCGATTACTGTATGATTCTGTAATCCAAATCGCAAGGTAAGAGACCACATTTGTATCTTTACCCAGTGCCATGTGGTAATTTCCTCTTGGCTAAACCGAACTAACGTTGTAGCGAATGAAGAAATAAGGCGGATGCGTTGCGCTTTAGCAGATACTATGTTATAACAAATGCTCCGTTGTTCATTTTGTAGGCTACAGTTATGACTTTTATGACAGCTGCAAACGTGTATTGTAATGTTTCGCTAAGGCTAACAACACTAATATTTATGTTAGCATAGTGGCTAAACCAAACAAATTACACAACTAACAGTTAGCAAATAGGGTTTTAAAGTCGACATAAAAAGCCCAAATCCTTAGATAACAGTGTGATATTAATGATGACGCTTTTGTAATGTGACTAACAGTTAGTCTAGTGGATCAATTGCGATAAAGAGTAAACACAAACACTTCCTGTAATCTGAAATGCCAGTCAGCCACAAATTACAGCCCATTTTTTTAAACACAAGCCGAGTCTATATTTTAAAGTGTCACTGCATGTGATAATATGTGAACCAGGAGTAAAAGGCGAACGCTACAGTTTGTAGCTGTTATTGCAAAACACTTGTTTACACAGACATATTTATGTTATCTATTTAATAATATTAATCTTGTCGTAAAATGGCCATAAATTGCTGCTGTAGCAATAAATAAACAACCATTTGGCTTGTGCAGTGTACAATAGGCATTCGGGTTTAGAGCTGTTGTCTCAGTAATCCATGTAAAACCATTGTGTCATTAGACTGACAAATTGCCTGCTAGAGTGAAAGTGTAAAAGTCTTCTAAGCTGCTGAAGTAAATCTCAATCGGCTCTGTCTTCCAGGTCTGACTGGAAACCTTCTCATTGAATGTCAGATTAGCAGCTCTAATAATCTCATAATAATGTTACGTCTGAGGCCTTTGAGCTGTGCCTTTGGGTTAGCTTGTTAGTTCAAGCAATGCATATGAAATTGATCCCCAAAAATATTTAGCTGTCAACCTGTTGTTACATTCCAAACCCACATTAATGACATCTTTTGTAGCGCAGAAAATGCGATGTTTTGTTGAATGTTAAAGGTGTTTTTGTTTGTTTTTTAATAAAGTGAATGTTGGTATTCACTAAAATGAGAACTAATATATTGATTTAAATGTTTTTAATCCAATGAATGTTGAGATTCACAAAAATGGCTACTAATATTTTTTTTAATTTATAGTTAAATACAGTTTTTCATCCCCTATTATAGGCATGGGACGATAACCGTTTTCAATGTATACTGCGGTTATAAGTCAATGTTTTAAAACCACCAGAATTTTCTGTTAAATTGTTCCTACGGTATATGTATGATTTTTATTATTATTATTTATTTATTTTCTTTGTTTTTTAGGACAACAGTATCACTTGCAAAAAACATATCCATAGATGGCATTTAAAAAAAGAAAGAAAAAAAAATAATTAGTTTTGTACCCTTTAAAAATAATATATTTTAGAGCAGTATTCACGATACAGAGAAACTGTGATTTTTTTTTTTTCCAAGGTTATCATACTGTCATATAGGGCTGCTCAGTATATTGTTTTAGCACTGATATCACAATGTGCACATTCGCAATAGTCACATCGCAAAGATATGCAATGTTGAGTCTGAATTATAGTTGAGCAGGAGCTACAGAATTGTACTGTATTTGTACAGAATTTATTTGATTTATGCAAAAAATAAATCTTACTTTGAATTTCTGTCTTGTTTTTAGTACATCTACCTAAATAAATGTAAAGTAAATATCTATCTAAAGCAAAAAATATTTATTTCACGTACTAATGATTATTTCACGCACCCCACTGGCAGACAATTTAGTTTGTTTTAAGGAAAATCTCTTAATTGTGACTTATTTCTTCTGACGGGGAAAACAAAACCATGTTTTTACTTGCTCTAAGATTTTTTTGATATTTGCACTGGAAACTGAAACGCATTTTGTTCTATTGTGGTTATTCAATTTCTGTATACCTGCATACTGTTAGATTCTCTAGAAAACTATCTAATAGTGCTTTTCGATCTATCCTGTGAAACGATTTTCTTATCGCAATATTTAGCGCAGAAAAAAAAATCACAATATCAGATTTTTCCAATATCATGCAGCCCCACCATCAGAATCATAAACCTGCCCATGCCTACCCCGTTATTCTACTTAGACATATTATTCTTCAAAAGTAATTGTAATATGCTGATTTGATGCTTATTTAATCAAGCACTGGAGATGCTTTCTTCATTAATAGCTATGAATGCTTTTTGAACACTAAACGGTTTGTAAATTCATAAATTTTTTTTCTCTCCTGTCCCTCATATGTTTGTTTGTCTGGATTATTACATTTTTTACTTATTCGTCGTTTGTATTTTAGTAGCATAATTTTATGGTAAGGTCTTTTTAAAAAACATAAAATAAAAAACAGGCTGTGTTTTTGGGGTGACCTTTTAACATGTTGTCATGGGTCTACGGATAAAAATAGCCTTTTTGGCTAATTCTGGCACATTTACACTTGTTTTCGAATGTGCATTGCCACTGGAAACAAATACATTACAAACTAGAATATTTTTTTTTTAAAGAGTTGTTTTAATTTGTGTTAACATTTCAATATATTATGTCTTTTGAGCGTTTTTGATCAAAATAAAGACAACTAAAATAAGCTAAAAGAGGCTTTTCTAAAAGTCATACTTATTTAATTTGCAAGTTTTGGTTGGTAGTGCAGAGGCTATATTATCATAAATATATATTTTTTTCTAATAAAATATGGTATTCCACACCACAATTTTAACAAAATGAAGGCATGATACTATGTGAATTGTTTTCAGAGAATTTTTGTCTAGGCAATGAATTAAAAAAAATACTAACACTGCCAGACATTTATATATATATATATATATATATATATATATATATATATATATATATATATATATATATATATATATATATAATAGACTTATTAGGTGCTCTAATAAGGTGCTCAAACAAATCAATATTATTACAACATGCCATTTTAAGTTTAGTAAACAACTATGTATTGATGTGACTGCTCGTATAGTTATTCTAAGGTATTTTATTGTATCGTTCTTCAGTGCTCAAACATAATTTTTTTTAAAATACAACCCTTAGTGAGAAGAAAATCTAAAAAAAAACAAAAAATTACTTAAGACGAGAGATTTACCTCAATGACATTTTTGTTTAAGCAAGATGCTGTATTGGACACACAAGACTTATTCATGTACATCTACTCAAACCAGAAGTTCTGCCAAAATGTCAATATTGCAATAGCAAACTAACTGTTAAATTTGTACTTTTGGAATGCCCTATATTTAATAATATCATACAACATTTTTTTTTTTTTAATCTGGAGAGATTTTGATGGAAATATTTTTAAACTTGAGTCCTTTAAATGTTATCCATGACAGCCAGAGAAGCCAATATGGAAACAAACACAAAACATTCTCTCTCTTTGTGTTATCAGGCCTTCTGACTTCAGGCATGAGGAGACAGGAGTGAAGAATCTGTTCTCTGCTGGAGTGTGAGGTTGGGTGAAGGATGCTGGAGGAGAGTGACGGAGAGACGGAGGAGATGGGAAGAGGTGGTGGAGAGGGTCTTCAAATGGAGGTGGAGAGGCTGATGGCTGAACTCCAGGAGGCCAACGAGGAAAAGTTACAGGCTGCACGATATGGCCTCGCCGTTCTGGAGGAGAGCGCTGTACTGAAGAGCAAACACAGCCAGCTGGAGGAGGAACATGAGGCACTTAAGATGGAAGTGCAGCAGCTCAGAGAGGTACATCAAGAAAAGGGATGAAGTTGTTTTTGAATGCTATAATATGTGATTGTAAAGTGGACATTAGCCGCGTTTCCACTATCGCGCCTAAAGCGAGCGAGCCAGGGCGAGCCAAGGCCAGTGGCGTTTCCACTGTCACTTCCGGGGCTTAATCGGGCCAAAGCGGGGCTTTCTTGGGGCCAGCGGCCGGCCTTTTTCGGCCCGCCGAATACCTTGGGCCAAAGAGGGCCAGCCGGGGCTTCGGGGCGGAGTGAAAGGAGAGGCGGGCACAGTTTTCCGATCGCACTCGAGTACATGCGCCAAACAAATAAATAAATAAATAAGGGAAAGAAAACATCTGGAACAAATTATAGGCTGGGGTCTTTTTTGCATATGATCGCCCTTATGTTTCTCTTTTAAATGTAAGGCTGTTGCATAAAATGATCTTTCTTTGCTGCATCTTTGATGTTTCAATAACCCATAATAATCTTTACACCATATTAAAGACACAGCAGACAGTAAAGGTTTTCAAGAGGTTCTGTCAAGTTTAATAAGTGTGTTTTTGCGCGTTTAGATGCCTGTGTATGTGTGTGAGACCGAAAAAAAGAGCGCTCCATTCATAGCTCTGTTGATGCCGCGAGCGGCTTTTGTCTTTTATTTTTATTGTTTTAATTTATTTTGGTGATAATACACTATATGAATACAACAGTAAGACATTAAACTTTACAAATGTCATGTCCACTTTTGTAGGCTCAAAACAATAGTGTCATATCTAGATAAAATAGCCCTATATTGAAATAATTTAAAGAATTACAAATATCAGATAGGCCTATAATAAAATCACATTAAATAAATAAACCAATATAAAACTAACAAAAGCTATAGCTATAACAATTAGGTACTATATCAAACTGTTTCAAATTTATATTAAACTTTCATTTTTCAAAAGCCTCTTTGAAAAAAAGATTTTAGATATTTTCTAAAAATAAATAAATAAATAAATAAACACCGGAGAATGTTTTAAATATTATTTATAAAGTATTTGGATATGATGAAATTAATCAAATCATGCAAACAGAGCATTGTCGGGGTGAGTGAAAGCAGAAATAGGCGACCTTTTTTTCTGTCTGCAGCTGCGCAGCAATTTTTTGACGGGGAAAACTGCAAGTTCAAAATGTGTTCTGTGTCCTCAAACAAGTGTGTATGTTTTTATATAACGTGGTAAAATTAAAAAAGGAAATTTTAAATACATAAAGAGCTTTATAAGTGCATAGCTGCTGAGCGCAACGAAATATAGGCTATATTTTATTACGTGCTGCTCTTATGTGCTGAAACACTGAACACTTTCCTTTACTTAAGATATAATAAGCAACATCTTTAAATAAAGGGAATCATCTATTAAGTGTCAAAGCCTATAGGGGGAAAAAATCATGTTTCAGTTCTCTCCGGAACATTTGGGATGAATGTTGGACAGATTCTGTCTAGAGGATGTTATAAAATACATTTTATATCGAGTTATTAACGGAGAATTTTATATATGTGGTGTTATATTATGGATGTGTGCGCTCCCTGCGCTCCGGGTCCCTCCGTTAGTGGCAAGACCACTGGATTTCGATGCCAATAGTCGGTCGGCGAGTAAATTAATATGATGAATGAAAACACACAGGCATGTGCGTATAGACATGCGTTGTACTGCTGTACAGTACGAGTCATTTGTTTGTTTTGGTTGTCCTAATTTTAATAGTTTCGTGATGATGTGCTTTATCTGCATGATTCTCGCTGAAGTGGGTGGTTTGAGTGACGTTCGATTCGGGGGATGTTCTGGGGGCGGGGTTTGCGTGACGCGCTGCGAGCTACTAACCCCACAGTGGAAACGCGACATGATTTTGGCCTCACTGCTCAACCTCCCGGGCGATTGGCCCGGCCTGGCCCGATATAAGCCCTGGCTCGCACTGGCCTGATAGTGGAAATGCGGCTATTGTCTTTTCAAATAATTCTTTCTAATTTCTATATCTTTTATTTTTTACTATTAAAAAGTATGAGAAGTATGTTCATGTGAATATGTGGGTGGTTGTATATTAGATTTATTTTTACCCCAAATGTTCGCCCCAGTTCTGGTTTTTGTCAAAAATAAAAGGCAATAATTAGGAAGACTTTTCATTTAGCGCTTTTATAACCAGCCTGGGGATATTTTACTTTGCTATTTTTTTTTTCTGATCGAGTCTAAGCAGTGTTTTCCTTGTGAGATTCATATCCCTTTTGCTTGACAGATAGATATTTTGCATACTCAAATGTTTTATCTGGAAAGTACACTTTACTTCCAGTGACCTATTTTCTTTGTTTATCCGTGTCATGCATTATTTGTCATTTCACAACACTAAATTTGGGTGTGAGAAAAACTTTTTAAGCCTAACATTTAAATTAAAGTTTTACCTCAGGACCTAGTTTAGGGTGTTTTGTCTTAAAGTATTAAAAATTGATAAATTAATTTAAATAAATTTAAGATCCTTAAAAGTCTTCTGTGTAGTTTATGAAATCGATAAACTCTTTTATAGACATATAGACATATCTATATCTATCTATCTATCTATCTATCTATCTATCTATCTATCTATCTATCTATCTATCTATCTATCTATCTATCTATCTATCTATCTATCTATCTATCTGTCTGTCTGTCTGTCTGTCTGTCTGTCTGTCTGTCTGTCTGTCTGTCTGTCTGTCTGTCTGTCTGTCTGTCTGTCTGTCTGTCTGTCTGTCTGTCTGTCTGTCTGTCTGTCTGTCTGTCTGTCTGTCTGTCTGTCTGTCTGTCTATCTATCTATCTATCTATATATATATATATATATATATATATATATATATATATATATATATATATATATATATATATATGTATGTATGTATATGTGTGGCAAAAAGCCACTAAACACCACTGGCTTTTGACAGCAAAAGCCACTATATTCTGAGAACCAATTTAGAAGGCGCAAATAGCATCATATGTTTTCAGTGTAGCAGCACGCTGATATGTCGGCTTTTTTGAGGAAGCTGTTTTATTCCGATTTCAATTTTAAAAGACAGAGTTTGATTAACTGGATGAGCCTGTCCAACTGTCAGTGAATGGTAAATGGAAACGTCCCTTACCTTAAAGCTCTGCATTATAAGAAAAGAAAACACAATGTTCTGTCGCAAGTGTAACATTCATTCATAACGTGTTTTTGCGCAGTGACGCTACTTTGAATGAGTCAGATTTATTATATGTTAAACGGCAGCTGCGTTTCACGAAAGACAGAGTAAAGATGCTGTTCATTCATCCCACATGGATGCTATAAGGATAAACAAGTGACCAAGACCTTAAGTATGGTAAGAATGAAAGAATGACAGCTTCTAAAATTGTCTGAGAGGTATCCCCTTTTTTTGCTCTTAACGTCAGCTGTTGGATTAGCATTTTTGTTCAGTAAATGAATAATGCTTTAGTTTAGGATTGGCTTCTTACAATCAATATTTGGTAAATATATACCATCATTTTAAAATGCAGCCAATGTTACTGGTTGAAATTTATGGTGGTTATGAGGTCTTAAAATCTATAGAAAGAGTCTTAAAAAAAGCTCTTAAAATATATTAAATGTTATTCTCTGATTTCTGTATATACTCTGCAAATAAATAAATGATACTCTCTCTACTTGATTAAAAAAAACTGTCAGCAAGCACTAAAGAACAATCCATTAATCAATATATTACTTTTTAACATGAGAAAAAATTAAGATTTGATTTGCTGAAAGTGCTAGAGCTTTGCAAGAAATTGTCAGCTCATTTCTATTTACTCAGATTGAAAAGGAACTTCAGCAAAACACTTGATATTTTACAAATGTTCGCATAGAGAAAAAAAAACATAGCTATTTTTCTTGTGTTTGAGATTACAGAGGTTTTGTGTGGACACTATCATTTTAAGATGCTATTAATAGAGCACTGTTTAGACAGCTGTTTTTGAGGTCTATGGCCAGAGTTGAAAACATTTAGCCTGTAAGCCTACTATGCCTCAGCATATTTGGCTCTCTTAGTTATCTGATTTATTACATAAATCTGTTTCCCAAAATCCCTGCTTTTGAGCATTTAGAGTATTAGAGTTTAGCAGCATATTTAGGCCATTGCATTTGTCTATGTATTATCATTTATTGGCAAACTACAGCTAATATGTGACTCATTTTATAAAAAGTTCACATGTGACACATGGTTGATTCACTGCCTCTGGTATGAAGATTAGGCTTGTGTATTTCTCTGTCTCTCTGTGTGTCTGATTAGTAGAGCATAAAATCATCAAAGTAGGTGAGTGTGGTAGAGTGAGATGACTGAAATGAACAGATCTGGGTCCAGTGTGCTAGAGAAAGCATGTCTGGTTAGTTGTAAGATCTAAAGACGTAGATGTGGTTCACATTCAATTTGCTGTTTAGTCTTTCATGATTCTACTAATCAATATTTGTGTTGAATGAATTTTCTTAGTGGAATAATTCTTATTAAACTTATTTATGAGTAAGTGGTGTAATGAATCCCAAATCTCATGGTTCGGATCACATAATGTTTTTTTTTTTTTTTTTTTTTGTCACGAATCGCACCGTTTTTTGGATCAGCCAAAAAGGGGAGGAGACAAATGTAATTTGCTTTTCATTTATTACAAAAACAGCTCTGCAAGACACACTTGTTTATAAAAAACAAAACTTAGATCATGTAATTTTATTAAAAATAAAAATAAATAATCAGCTGAATAAAAATAAATTGTAAAATATTCAGTACTGTGAAAAATTCCACTTAACGCTAAACTTATAAATCTAACATAATTTGTACAACCCATATTCAATTTTAGTATCATCTTCAATAAGTGATTCAGTTATTCACTCCCAAAACGTCATGTTTCATTACTAGATGGATCATTTTTGAAGAATTATTCAGTGGCATATTTTTGATGGCTGGTTGTTTTGATGGCTATTGGTTAAATTATGTAATTGCTGCCTACAACTTTCATTTTTGAGCGTCCTTAAATTCATATGACAGGGATTTTAATCTTTACCATAAACATCAGTGGTTATCTAAACTATAACCTGTTGTCCCAGTACTTCTGTGTTATTTGACTGTAACTTCAAAAAGCTAAAGTTTTTGATCTTTGCGTTTTTCAGATTTGAATGCAGCGATTAGAAGGATTAATTAACGTATGTAAATCAACATCATTTATTATTTATGTTGCGTTGGTGTTTTTTTGATGTAGGCTAAAGTAGTGACAGAAAACAACTTTAATGAAACCCACCACATCGCTTATAACCTACCACAACTTCTTCTGTCATCTTTATATTTTACAGGAAAGATAAATGCTTTCATACATGTGATTTGAATGACACGAGAGGCGATCTCTTTGTGGTCATTACAAATTTAGGATAAATCTATAAATTCTTCTTCTTCTTCTTCCGCGGAATGAATCACGGCAATGTTAAATTGCGAAGATTTAGAGTTTTCATCGATGGACGTGTCCGTGGCGGCCTCGCAAACTTTGATGATTCGCCACAAAACAGGAAGTCGTTGTAACTCTGGCATGCATTATCCGATCTGCCTCAAAATTCAAACATTTGATAAAAGTCCTGACCTGAACATGTTTCCCTGCCAATATCCAAATAAAGTTATAGCGCCACTTGCTGGCCACAGGAAATGAAATGTTTTACATTGTAACATACTCCTTCACCAAATTTTATCGTATCAGCACCAAATTTGAGTGGTGTCATCTGAAAGCTCTAGCGATAATATATTGTGAAGATCTAGAGTTTTCGCAGAGGGGCGTGTCCATGGCGGCATGACAAACCTCAACGCTTCGCCATGGAACGGGGAGTCTAATTGAGTCTGTCATAGCGCCACCTGCTGGCAGAAGGTAATTTGGCTTGTAACCCGGCCACACAATGTCCGATCTACCTGAAACTTCACACGGTTGATAAAAGCCCTTTCCTGAGCACATCTACATAATTATATTGAGTCTTTCATAGCACCACCTGCTGGCAGAATATAGTTTGGCTTATAACTCAGCCACACAATCTCTGATCTGCCTGAAACTTCATATGGTTGAATCAATTCCTCTCCTGAACACATCCACGTAACAATATTGAGTCTGTCATAGCGCCACCTGCTGGCAGAAGGTAGTTTGGCTTATAACTCAGCCAAACAACGTCAGATCTGCCTGAAAATTCACATGGTTGATAAGACTCTTCTACTGAAAGCATCTACATAACAATCTTGAGTCACAGTTATAGCGCCACCTGCTGACAGGAGGAAGCTCTGCATAAATCTGTGATTTTCTCAGGTTCTTTATATATATCAGCTTAAATTGACGTTGTTCGCTGTTCTCTGTCTTCCTGAGGCCACCGGGCGGCAGTGAGCCCGGGTGCGAGGTCCCTATCATCGCTGCTTGCAGCTTTAATATATTATTAGAATTATTATTATTTTTTATTTAGTTAGTTATTTTTGACAAGTATCCACAGCAACTTGATGTACTAAATATTAATAATAATAATAATAAGTAATAAATAAAATTAAAAATTAAAAACCAAAAAAACTAAAAACATGCAAAATGCTAAAAAATTTATATTTGGAATTAGAAATGCACATTATATAGTTTCTGCATTAAAATCGCAATGTGCACATTCGCAATAGGAAGTGCAATGTTGAGTTTATATGTTGAATTATATTTTACTAGGAGCCACAGTTCAGAACCAGAAGATTTTTGGATTCACCGAAGAGAGTTTAACCATAATAGAGTTTAAGTATTCGGGCACAAGAAATTGTAACTCTAACAAAGATTTATTTATTAAGTTATTAATACAATAACTATACAGTGTTGTTTTACATTTGATTATTTAATTATAATTTCTGTGCTTGAAAACTGTCATGTAAAATATTTCACTTCTATCTTCCCAATAATATACCAGAATAACTCCTGTAATCTTTGAGAATAATCCCAAATCAGTCAAATTTAATGAATTCTTTTCTAATAGAGCTATTCAAGCTATCTAGTGAAATTGTATTCATAACACAATATGAATCGCAACAAAACAAAATATTGCAATGTCAAAGTTTACAATATTGTGCAGCCCTATTTATTACAGTAATATAAAATCTGATACAAATATTATTTTAAAGCTGTTACATTAACACATTTGCTGTAAATTGTAATATAAATTTAGACAAAAAAATTCATTTCTACATTTTCTACCTTTTTGAGTGTGTTGTGGATTTTAACTTGGCATTACAAATCAACTCCTGCTTTTGTATGATGAAAAAGAGTTCAGATAGACTGTCATCTTTATGTCACATCATTTAGAGAGACGAGATGACATTGATCTTAATTTTTTAGGCTGAACTAGGCTAGTCTTTTTTTAAACAGCTAAACATACTGGTAACTTGCACAGAGAGGTATAGAGCACTTCCCCCTCTTCAGGCTGCCTTTCATCATTAATTATAGAGTAACACAAGCATGTTTCTCCCACACGTTGTCACACGACTCAAATTATAATGTTCAGAAAATTGTGTGGCTACATTTATTAGCAACCTGGACGATCTTGGATCATCTGGAAGCGGTTCAGTTCAGTGCGAAACAATCTGCCGTACATTTGTTACCATTTGTCCAAGCACTTAGTGTGAACTAAACATTGTAATTACACCCTCACTGAAGTCAGAATGTGAAGCAGTGACGCATAGTGTTACACTTCACTCACTCTCAATGCAGTTGCTGTTGTTTGTTGGCAAGGCAAATAAACAAATTCCTTCGAATAACTCGAGACGGACAACTTCTTAATTTTCAACAGCTCCGAAAACTGCTGTTCTCGTTAAAAGAATTTCACATATTCACGCAAAGTAGCAGAGGGACGTAAATTGTGTCAGAATCGCTTGTTCGTTCTGTCAATCATCTCATTGTTTTGTTTCTTCTGTTGTTGGGAATTGGCAGTCTTTACTAGTGTAACTCAGTGTTTTAACTTTGATGGATGACAGTGAATGATTTATTGAAATGTGTATGCGCTTTATAGGCACTGGCAGACTCTGTGAGCAGCCATAAGCGTGCAGCTGCAGATGGCGAGAGTCGAGAGGAGAGGCTCCTGCAGGAGTCGGCCAACAAGGAGGCAGAAATGGATATTCGCATGGATGAGCTGCAGGCGGAGCTTAAACAGGCCCGCGTCATGCTGAACAATACCTCGGCTGAAAACGAGAGACTGGTCAGCCTTTCCACACAGATGAAAAAGGTACGTTTAATGTCATTAATGAGTAAGCCCAGGGTCTGTATTATAATAGCTAAAGTATTTATTTGAACATTACATTGCCATAAAAGTACAATTACCAAAAGAAGCAACTAGGGCTGCACAATATATAGTGAAATTACATATTGCAACCATGTGATAAATTACATTTATTTTAGGCATTGATTGTTTATCTAAATAAATATTGAGTTATCAGATAGGGCCTTACTATATTTAGTCGGCAGCTAGCTCTCTGCAACTGTCACATGGTCGCCCACTGAAGCTAAGCAGGGTGGATGGGATACCATATGGGAATGCTAGGTTGCTGCCGGATGTGGTGTGAGTGAGACCAGCAGGGGGCACTCAACATGTGGTCTGTGTGGGTTCTAACGCCCCATTATAGGGAAGGGGACCCTATACTGCTCTTTCGAGACATTAAACCGAGGTCCTGACTAGACCTCGACTGGTTGTTAAAAATCCCAGGATGTCTTTCAAAAAGACCAGGGGTTTAACCCCAGTATAATGGCCAAATTTACCCACTGGCCTCTGTTCATCATGGCCTGCTAACCATCCCACATATCAAAATTGGCTTCATAACTCTGTCTCCTCTTCACCAATCAGCTTGTGTGTGGTGTGCCATCTGGTGCAATATGGCTGCCGGCGCGTCATCCAGGTGGATACTTGTGGTGTATGAGGAGATTTCCCCATTGTGTAAAAGCGATTTGAATTTCATGACCATTTTTTAAAAAAAATGTTATGCTTCTCGTAATAGTTTGCAGGACTTTTGTCCCATTCCTCCTAACAGAATTGGTGTAACTGAGTCAGATTTGTTGGATTTGTCTTGCTCGCACAAGCTTTTTCAACTCTGCCCACAAATTTTCTATTGGATTTAGGTCAGGGCTTAGTGATGGCCACTTTAAAACATTCACTCTGTTGTCCTTAAAGCACATTTTAACTAATTTGGCAGTATGCTTAGGGTCATGGTCTGTTTTGAAGACCCATTTTTGCCAAGTTTTAATTTCCTGGCTGATGTCTTGAGATGTTGCTTCAGTATTTCTACATAATGTTCTTTCTTCATGATGCCATCTATGCTGTGAAGTGGACCAGTCCCTCCTGCAGCAAAACAGCCCCACAAGATGATGCTGCCACCCCCATACTTTACAGTTGGGATGGTGTTCCTAGGCTTTTAAGCTTTCCCCTTTGTCCTACAAATGTAACATGGTCATTATGGCCAAACAGTTCAAACTTAGTTCCTGCAGACCGCAGGACATGTCTCCAATAATTATTCTTTTTCCCAGTATAATTAAGCTAATTGTAATCTGGCTTTTTTTTTTTATTCTGGCTTATTGATTTTCCCATGTTGTCACACAAGGGAGCAGTGTGTTCCTGCCACACGTTCTATTTGCAAAAGCACTTTATTCATGAAGCATGTTCTATTAATTGGATTGTGTCTGCTTCAATTATGAATTCAAATTTTTATTCTTTTTTTTTTTTCTTTTTTTTCTTTTTTTTTTTTTTAAACAGATTTTTTAACACTGTTAAGCCAAACACAGTTTTAGCACAGAGTACATTGTTAAAAACTTCATATAATGCAGTATATGTTTTCCCCCTATAAAAATATGCATAGATGCTGGCATGGCATTAAACGCAAACTAACAGCTGAAATGGTGATAATGGACGTACCCTTTGCTAGATCTCTAGCTGATCAAAGTAAAAGTGGGAATAAGACACCTTGTTTTCATGAGGCCAGATCATGTGACACCAAGCCTGCTTGAGTTTCAGTGTCAGCTTAAAAAGAAGAGAGGCCATGTGAACTACTTATAGAACTATTGTGCACGTACAATACACTTGTCACTGATAGCTGTATCAATGTTAAACATATTTTAAAGGGGGTGGTGCAGTGAAATAGAAAAAAATCTCACTGTTCATAAACAAACACACACTTACACATCTATGTTAAATTTGTAAGATATGATATTAAGTAAAGACAAATAAACAAGCATTTCTTGATCATTAAATGATCATTTCAAACAGGAAATTTTGGGTTGAGTTACTCTTTTAACAATGTTTATGAAATGAAAGAAGCTACTCTTGGAGAGATAACTGGACTGGAATATTTATTGTTAAATAAAATAATAATCTAGCCTGAATAAAATAAAAGTGAAACATTCACAGGGCTTGAAATTAACTTTTTTACTTGGTAGCACCGGTGCTCCCAACTTCAAATATTTAGGAGCACCAAAAAAATTTTAGGAGCACCAGAAAAAATTTAGGAGCACCCACCAAAAATGAATGTGCACAACTGCAAATTGTTTTTTAAGGGATTTATTGTATTTCAAAACAACATTAATAGGACTGACAAAAACCAGAAACAACTATCTAACTAATGCTGCGAAGACATTGATATTTGTGTGCAATAATTCCAAAATGAATGTCTAATAATTAGGCCATAGAATATTAATGATGATAAAAAAATGAAAAATAATAGTAACAATGAATTCCATTTCTCATTATGATGCTGCCTTGAATGTGCATGAATGTAGGTTATCTGCTATAAAAAGTCTGTTACTTTATGAAAAATAATTGTATAGTTTGCATCAAACAAAAATGAAGCATTGCAGTAAGAAATATTTATTTTGTACTGCTGTTTTTATATGCATGTCAATTTAATAAATAATATTTCTGCTACAAAACAAACAAAAGTTTATAATAAATCATTCAATTCAATGATGAAAGCTGCAAAGCAGTCATCTGTAAATAAATAAAAAAATAATATACACCTCAAAAAAGAATAGACAAAAGAAAGTAAGTAAAGTCTCACTTCTATCACTCTTTAAAAGTTTTGGTTTCAGTTTGTGTCAATTTAAATGTTCAGTCTGAGCTGATCTTCATGTTTCTGTGTTAGTGGAAAAGCTGGCGAGTCAGCCGACCCAATTTATGAGCAGGTTTCTTGCGCTAACCATCGGCGCAATACCGCTCTTTGTTATGAGCCGCAGTTTCAGTGTAAACTTAGTAAAGGCGAGCTTCTTTGGCGATGATATGTACAGTATTAGATTTGACTTTTAGCGGACATTTGCCTGCGGCAGGGAAGAGCATTTCAGCACGTTTTTACAAAAAATCAAAACAGGTCGCACTACAACCATTATCTGCAGTCGCACAAATGCTCCCATATATATTATGAGGTCGCATAGATTAATTTTCGGGCGCATATGCGACCAAAATGGTCGCAATTTTGAGCCCTGATTCAGTTTGCGAGAAGCTTATATTAAACTGTTTTCCCTATTAATGACAAATTTGAATAAGCAGAAAATGCTTTTGCAATTTATTCGCTACACTAAACATGTTTCCAGGTTACCTTGGCAGAACAAACTCTGTTAAAGAGCTGATAGAACTCAAACTCGTGAAAAGGAAGATTTTTGCGTATTTGTGCCAGTCTGTCAGAAAAAAATAGCTTTAAACACCTTAATATTTTAGAGAAGGTAGTTAATATTTGCATAACCAATGATTGATCTTATCCACCTATGACCCACCCATAAGTAAAAATGCAGCCTATTTTTTGATCACCTGAACAGCGCATTTACGGCAGCACCCGCTGATATAACTGAGAATTGATGTTCTCCTATTGCACTCTCTCATCCATGTGATGGAACTTTTGGGGAAGATCGGGGAAAAAACTAAACATAACAGACTTTCTGCGATGGTGTCATGAGGCGTCGCAGGCATGGTATCCTTTGTCATGAACAATGCCACATTGCATGAGAAGAAACGATTAAATCTTGTGTCACGACACCCATTTGTCGTTTACGAATCCCCACGACACCCTTCGTCAAGGAAATCATGCCAAAATTGTTTGATCTGACCAGGGCTTCAGGCGTCAAGGATAGATTTCTGCTTTGCATTAAATGCTAGAAAAAGATAGTCTAGTTGTAAGTGTCCAACTGTTATTTCAACTAAGGGCGTCACGATCCTCCAAATCCTCGATTCGATTACATTTTCGATTCTAAAAGCACGATTCGATTCGATTTTCGATTATGAATAATTAATTAATGACCAATTAATTATTTGTAGCCTACCGTTTAAACTACCTGACCTGGATGGTCTTTGTTTTACCCATAAACAAATCATACAGTAAATGAATAAAGGCAAGTTACACACATAATTACCACCTGTCAATCACTTTTTCTGCGGGACTCGTGAATAGGCACTGATCTGTGTCGTTATAATGGTGTCGGTAAAAAAGACGCACAACCAACAGGAACCAGCCAACAGTATCTGAGGTGTTCGCTAAAATGACTAAGTACAAGTGAGTGAAAGATTGAAGCAGTCCTCTGACTGCCTGGACCTGCTGTCTCGAGCGCATGGCAGTGTCTGTGTGGTCACGTGATGTGCATTTTTAGAGGTAGAGAGGAAGGAGGGCTGCTCAGAAATGCTACACGCCACTGTGGATGTCAAATCGTTGTCGTTCTAAAATGCCATTTAAAAACAAAGACAGTGTAAACAGGGCCTGAGTGTGTACTTTTCACGAGCGGATTTGCAACGGGGGGGGCGGAGGATCGCGATGCCGGTGTTGTCTATCGGACGAACCGTACGTAATACGTACATAGCAGAGCTTGCAAAACTGTGTTTTTTTGTCGACAACAAGAACGTTGTCAACATAACTCACTGGAAATCCAAAATGCTTACACACCGGCGACTTCATTGAAAGAGGAGAGGGTTTAAGTTCTGTCGACAGGTCTCCTGCTTCTGCAGTTTAACAAGCACTTCAACAAGCCTGTTTTTTTCCCACTTGGCAAGCCAAACTGACGTGACATGGGGGCGTGGCAGCATCGACGATTCTATTTTTTGATTCGATAATCGAAATTGAGCATAAATTTCGATCGATTTCGATTAAAAATCGAAATTGTGACACCCCTAACTTCAACTATAGTAATCATATTAAAATTGATAATTCTCTGTAATCTCCTAGTGGTTAACATTATACACAATTTAGCATTATGCAATTTATTATATAAATTAAAAAAAATAAAACAATGTTTTTTATAATTTTCAGTGAATAAAGGACAGGAAATTATTAAAATAATATTATTTTTTAAATAATTTAATATTGCAATCCGTCAATACACATACATATACATCTGTTATGCCATGCCATGGTGTGTTTCCTTCAAGTTTTTAAAGAGGCTGACTGTAGTATTGGTAACCTAGTAAACAAAAGTAAACAAGGCACGCATAACGGAGAGACTAGAGGTGTGAACTTATTCTGGTCTCAAGGTTCAGTTCGGTTACGATTATCATATCGATTCAGTTCAATCCAATTTTAAGGTGCATCACGATCCATTGACAATGCTTTCCACACACAATTTTTTCATTTTACTTCACAATAATAAAATTTTATCTTTTAATACAAGCAGTCAGATATATGAACGGACCATAAACTTTACCAGCTGAAAGAAAACACACCAGTTTTAATGTAAACAAAACTAAAGTACAGTCACAGAAGACAACAGGTGCATTTAGAACAAATGCACAAGATAACCCCTCTTACTTTTTGAGCACAGTCAAACAACTGATTAAATGCCTATAATTGGCTATTATGCTCATGCACTCAACAGAAATGTCTGTGATTGGCTCTAACGACAAGCACTGTTCACAGAGTGGTGATGCAGATAAGGTTATTTTCCTTCTACTTGTTTCTCACGTCAAACTTTAAAATGCACATTAACACAGGATGATGGAAACTAGTCACTCAGCTAGTCACTCTCATTAAGTGGCATATCAAGATGTTCCAATTACAAATCTTTTGATGTCCAAATGTTTCAGAAAGGTAGAAAAATAACAAATTAAGTTTAAAACTGGGTCGTTTTGAAATGTGAAATATTAATTTAATTATAGAGTAACACCTTATATGTGTAAATTTGAAAAACATTTGGATTGTCCATTTTATGACCCTATAAATCAACCACCACATGCACATTTAATTGATTCCTTACAGTCTGTTCAGAGTTCAGTGGGATTTTCTTGACAACCTGTGTTTTCTCCAGGAGTGCGAGTGTTTGGAGGTGGAGAAGACCCGGATGAGAGAGGAGATGAAGGAGTACAAGACTCGAGAGGCGCAGCAGCTACAGGATAACAGCGAGCTGGAGGAGGAGAATATCTCCCTGCAGAAACAAGTCTCAGTGCTTAAGGAGAACCAGGTGTGTGGGGAAAAAACGTGTTAGAGGTGTTCCGACAGATTCAGAGGAGGATTAAATTTAACTATTGTTTGTGTTGTTTTCTTTATATAACCAGCTGTTTTATCCATAAATGTGACATAATAGCCCTGTAATTGAGGGGCGTCAAACTCCTGCGGAGCTTAGCATCGACCTTAATTAATCTCACCTGATCCAGCTGATCAAGTCCTTTGAGCTTATTTGAAAACTACAGGTATGTGTTGGAACTAAACTGACAACACAAATTTTGCATTAAGGTTAAAACTAAATTTCACATTTGGTGTTTGCTGGACATAAGTCGCCCCTTATGGAATTTGGTTCACCAGAGATGTCTTGTGACTTTCAATGGGTTTTTCACAGCTGCTGTCACGGCAGCACAAATACTTCTGTTGTAGTCCTTCAGTCTCAGCTGGTTTTGTGACAAAGCCTTCCTTCTGAGGAGCTGCACAAGAGAAAGGTTTTATTCACTTCTCGCATGAATATTCAGAGTCACAGGCACTAGAACACCTCCTCTTTTAGACTACAAACCGGTTTGCTCAGTGTAAATTCAGGCCAATGTTGACATGTACAGGGGTATTTTATGAACTGAGTTTTCGCTGCTTTCATTTAAAAAAAAAAACTCCATCCACATGAAAACACAAAAACGCACTGTTGCATGTTAAGGGCACGCCGAATCAACAGGTAGAGATAAGAATACTTTTTATCAGACCCCCTTGTTTTTCACAATTTATTGTGTGATTTTTACTATTTATTTATTTATATATTTTTTGCAATAAAAATGACTGATTTTGTGGCAGTTATTCCCAGCAATTTGCGGACAATTTTGAAATGTACAAAATTATATATGTATATCTCTTATTCACCATATTAGGTAGCCTACTATGTTAGGTGTGCAATCCTGGCACAATGACACAAATCATAAAAATAAAGCTTCTTTATTTTGGTCTCTTGTCAAGACAAGATTTAAAACAGATCTAAAACGGTAGGGATTATGCCAAAGGAAGGTTGTATAACTCTTATTTTTATCCACGATCTTGCTTTTTCTTTTATTTCACTCCCCGGAGCATCTTACATCATCTAAGGTCTTACCCTACCATAATACACCTAAAACCCGAATTGTTGTAAAACTCATCAGTGGCAGGGAACTGTTTTCTCTCATTAACTGCAGGAAAAGAGTTGAATAAAAACATTTATCGGTTTGAAGCATACCATAATAAAATGATGTAATGATTGTGAGGACGCAGGTTAGACGTCGTTTTTTTGGAGACATTTAAATACATCACGTGCGCTGCGTATGCAATGTGTATAAATCATGTAAAACAATTAATTAAAAATTGAAATAAATCTAATTTGATTATATATTTGATGTTTTATTTTATAGATTATTTACATTTTTTGCAATTATTTTGAGTTTAAATTAAGAATTAAATTTTTTTTTTTTTTTACTTTTTGTTGATTTTGCATTGGATTCAGCGATCGCGGAATCGCGAAAAACTTCTGGGGGGTTCTGTTTTATGTTGGGTTCACACCAGACAGTGAAGTTTTTGCGAGTATATTGCATACAGGTCAATGCAAGCTGGATAACCATCCCGCTGGGTAAACCACGTGGAATATGGGATGCGTTTGCCACGCTGGCCAATGCTGGAAAGTAAAAAACAGCGCTCACACTGATGTCATGAGGTGAAATCTCTGTATTGGAAAATCCCTATCCGGTTGTGGAAAATCTTCACCCTGGCAGGTTTTCTAAGTTTTCAGAATGGTTCTGTTTTCGATCTCCTGACACTGCTTTATCATGCGATAGGAAAAAGTGTGGTTTTAAAATACCAGTGATCCATGTGGACAGTTTCTCAGACACTGAATACACAAATCAGCAGAGTAGTTCTTATGAGTTGATTCGGAAACTATAGGCATAGTGAGTAAACAAATAAATGTGTTTTTGAGTTAATGTCAGCAGTTATGGACAAAGCATCTTTTTGGGATTAACGCTGCCATGTGACACTGTGACAGTGCTTATGTTTGGTTCCATTTGGTGTGTAATTGATTAGGAAGTAATTGTTGATATAATGTGTAGTGTCAAAAATGTGTAGAAAGTTGCAATGTGGACATTTCCAGTGAAGTCCAGTGGTTTTCAATTTTGTTCCTGTGGACTCACTGCTTCAGGGCTTATTTGTGCCAGAACACCTCTAAAATCTGATCCGACACCTTCCAAACCCCAACCCCATCTCGTAAAATGTATGGGGTTCAACTTGTGTTTTCACTATCTAAAGCTCCTATACGTTTTTGCACTACCTTTTTATAAAAGCCTACTTTCTCTTGGCTTCGCAGCTGACCGCAAGAGAAACATTAAACAATTATTTTATTTAGTCTAAACGACTAAGAAAAACTACACTACATACTGTACTCCAAGAGGACAAAATGACAGGTCTAAACTGGCTGCAAAATATATGTACACCATTGGTAATTGTTAATCAAGAGAGGGAGAAGCAGATTTTACTAGTCAGTGGGTGCACATGGCTCCTGAATAGCATGAAAGTAAGAGAAACTGTGGATGTCTTTTTTTTAACCCATTGAAAAGCAACAGTGTATAGCCGTGTCATAATAAATAAAATTGTTAATTAAATCATGTATTGTTTGTCGCATATAGTTAAATATTTTTGTGATGTGGGTAAAGGGTGTGTTTCGATCAGGCTACCACCACAAGTATATTTCAAACCTGTGGTAAGCACTGAGTTGATGAGTTGTAATAACGACATAAGGTACGTTCATCTCACTTTCATCGACACAAGATGGAGTTTTACATACTTCTGATAAAATGCAAAAACAATGCAGTTTTGCTTACAGAATAGTCTCTGATTTTGCATCCATGAATTCCGCCCACTGACCTATATATAATAAGATTTGTAATGGGATGTATAATTCTCTTATGTTGTTTAGTGATTTTGCAATGTTTCTCACTGACATGGCCCCAACTCTGGAACTCTTAAGCTTAAAAAAATTGTTTCCCACTCGTGATAATAATTTAGTGGTGATGTTCATGTACGTTCAACTTGTAAATATGATTTAGTAACTGAAGATAAACCCGATAAAATATAAATATTTTATCGTCAAGGCAAGGTGTCATTTAAGTAAAGCTATAAAATTAAAATGAAAAAACACAACAAACTCAAGAGTTTCTTAAATGACTCTATAATAAAGCACGACCTAAATGTAATTACTGCAAGACTGCTCCTACAAAGAAACAGATTTTGTTGGAATGTAGAAGTTTGAATAATATTAGACAAAATTTTTATCAGGAGAGTACTTTGATGGATATTTTTAAAAAGGTACCACTTGAAAAAATCTTACATTATTTAACAAAATATTGAACTGAAAAATCATATTTAACTTTGAATATATTTTTTGTGAATTTTATTTATTTCTCTGTCTTATTATTTTCTTATTTGTCTTAGTAACTTTTTGTTGTAATACAAATTAGTTTTTATCTTGTAATATTTTTATGTATGTCCATTTTTCCATGAAATAGCCATGAGTTGCTGATGTGGCAATAAATAAATATTAAATAAATAATAAAATTTTTTTTTAAATGAACATTCAAAGAGCATGAAAAATACAAGCGACTTTAAAGTGTTAATATACAATTTAATTAAAGTATGTAAATATGATACATACCCAATCAAGTCCTTTTGCATTTATTATGCCTTTTTTGTACAAAACGATCAGAGCTACACACAGACAATCACATACTTTACATTTTTGCTCTTGTGTTTGCAGGTGGAGTTTGAGTCTGTGAAGTTGGAGTTGACCCATAAAGATGAGGAGCTGGAGCTGATGAGGGCCCAGCTGGAAGAGGCTGGCCGTCTCCGGGAGATTGCAGAGCACCAGCTGGATGAAGCACTTGAGGCCCTGAAAGAGGAGAGAGAGCAGAAGAACAGCCTGAGACGAGAAGTTGCAGCACTCACCCTCAACCCCTTCGACTCTATTAGCCACTTAGAAATACAGCTGAATGACAGCCGGGATGGAGAGAAGGACAGAGAGGAAGGAGAGGAGGATGAAGAAATGGACAGTGGGTATAATAACTCCAAAGGTATGGAGAGAAACAGGTGCTCCACACCTAGAAACAGTGAAGTGTTCCTCAGACCCCAAGCTCCTGGGCTGGTCTCTGACCTGCTGAGCGAGCTGCACCTGTCAGACAGCCAGAAACTCAAGCAACAGCTGATACAGGTGAGAGAAACTGCTTCCTACATGCTTCTTTTTTCATTTTCTTTGGGTTTTTTGGTTTTCTCTCCGTCTTTCCTGGTCTTATTTTGCATACGCACTGACATGCAAATTTAGCTTTTCAGATTAGACATCAGATGCCGGTTTCTTTCTGAATAATTACTTTGCTAACCTGTTGTAATAAAAGATCCTGGTTCCGTTCTGCGTATACAGATATGTGCCAAAAATAGAATATCAAGGGAAAGTCCATTCATTTCAATAATTTGTTTCAAAAATGGAAACGTGTGTGTCATATTAGTTCACTACACACAAAGTGAAATATTTTAACTTTAAGCCTTCATTTGTTTCAATTGTAATGAATATGAATTAAAGATGAATAAACTCGTATCAAATGTTTCACAAAATTAGAATATCATGACAAAGTTCAACATTGTAGGCTCCCTGTGTCTCAATCTAGTCTGCTAATTAATGCAAAGCCTTGAAATTATCTGGCCTAGTAGGCTTTAGAATCATGGGGAAGACTTCTGACTTGACTGTTGTGCAGAAGACCTTCATTGTATTTCTCCATAAAGAGAAACAGTCTCAAAAGGCCATTGCAAAGAAGCTGGATGCTCTCAGAGAGCAGTACAGAAGTATATTATAGAGTGTTAAGAGAGGAAAAATGTGTCTGGAAAAGGTGCACAAGTATGACTGCAGCCTTGAGACCATTGTCAAGGAAGGGCAACTAAGGCTGGCGTCAGAGCATCAAGATCCACCACTTACAGACGGCTGCATGAGATGGGCTACAGCTTAAAGTCCAGTGTGAAGTTTCCACAGTCATTGATGGTTTGGGGAGCCATGTCACACAGTATCTTGGTTTGTGTCCAAGATTGTTGTCTTTAATCATATCTACAGTCAACGCAGCTTCATACCAGGATGTTTTAGAGCACTTCATGCTTCCTGCTGCTGACAATCTTTTTGAAGATGATGACACATTGCCAAAGCTACAATGAGGACCATGGTAAGGACCATGGTAATCCTGTTCTTAATTGGCCAGGAAACTTACCTGACTTACACCCCACTGAACATCTATTGGCTATTGTCAAAAGAAGGATGACAGTCCCCAAATTTATCGACCTTCAGCTTGTCTGCAAAGCAACTTGGGCTACCATAACACCTCAACTGTCTCAAAGGCTGATCACCTCCACAGTCGCCTCCATGCCATACCACCTTGATGCTGTAATTAGTGCAAAAGGCAGAGCAACAAAGCACTGAGGACAAAATACAGTACATTAACACACTTTACAGAAGGCCAACATGTGTTTAAGATCCTTTTTTTATTGGTCACATGAAATATTCTTATTTTGTCCAACACTATATGGCTGATTCCAGCGTTATGGACGTGACATTTGCAGTAAAAAAATGAAACGTATATTCTCAGAGCAGGTATATGTTAACAGTATATTGAAATATATGTTTATATTTTTCTTACCCCTTAACCATGGAGTTCAGGCATCAAAAAAATATTAGTCTATGCAGGTGTTTTATATTAAAAATGACGGCAAAAGGAATGCATTACGGACGTGACAAAAAAAGACATGAGTTTTGTGAGTTGACATACTTTGTGAAAATTCTGTGAATGAAAATGCAGAAGCCAAAAAAATATATAACAGTCAAAAGGATAAGGGTTGGCTCTGCATGGGACATATATAATTAATTTTATTTAGTTTTTCATTTTTGCATTAATGAGGAAAAACCTTTTTTAATGAGTCCGTAACCTAATCGTTACGGACGTGACTTGTCTTCGTTACGGACGTGACTGCTCTGAAATTGACAGTTGACACATTATGAAAATCAGATAAATACTTTCAAAACTTGACCAAAGACCTATTTGTGGATATCTGTTTGGGTGTGTAAACCAATAAACTTTAACCTCTGAGACATCTGAATGGTAAGGTTGCACAATTAATCAAACTTAAATAGATATCACCTTGTTATATTTAATTCGTATTATGGCATGTGTGTTGTTAAAGGTTAACGCACGTTTGAATGTTCAAAACTCAATTCGGTAACAATGTTGCATGCTAACATGGTACTTTTATACTCTGAATAATATAGAATTTATAATAAACATAATCAGCTATAATGGGCCTATGTTTAGCAGGCTCCTAAAGTTAGTGTTTCAGACAAACTTGAATTAAATCATTGCCCGACTGTTGCGCAAGACCGTGTCTACGTGAAGAATATTTAAAATCTAGTTTTGTCACAGATATGGCAATATTATATTTGACAAAGTTTATTTTAGTTTATTCTAGTTAATGTGTTAGTTGATGGAATAAATAATTTAATTTCTCCACTCGCGCTTGCTTTCTTTTTCTCGTCGGCAGTCACTTCAGGACAGGTTGCAAAAGGTTCATACGCACCAGGGTGAGAGAGAAAACTTTAAAACTTAAGAAAGGTTTTGTGTAGGCTATGTTAAACAAGCATAGAAAAATAGTCATTGGTTGTAGGCATGTACGATGGATGACTATAATGTTTATATTTTTAGGCTATAGTTCATAACCGATTGTGTAAAATATTGAATTAAATATTTACAGCTGCAGGTCCTATCGATTTTCTAACAAATTTAATACTCATATAATGTAGTTAAAGCTTAGATCAATATCAAGATTTTATTCTTATTTTATTCTTATTCTTATTAAAATAATTTTAATAAGCACTCAAGCGCATTTGCCGGGTGCTGGAAATCTTTGAAAATGTTTCAATTTTAATGTAGGCTATAGCCAATTTTCAAGCTTTGAAAGTGCTTAGATTTTGGATAAAGGGCTTGGAAAATGAATAGTGTCGCTTTGGAAATGTATCTTTATAAATAGTTATTTAATTAATGGAATAAAAAACATATTTATGCTCTGCATGAAATGAAAACTTCGCTGTGGCCTGACCCGCGGCGTGCGCATTTTGAGCAGTGGGAAAAGACCAAATGCATGGAGGTTATTGATTATGCGCCTTGCGCGCCTCGCGTTTTGTCATTGCGCGCTTTGTGCGCTCCAGAAGAAAAGCATGTTACCTCAGTCTTTCATTCTTCAATCAAACGAAAGCAGAGGCGGGGTTTCCTTGGAGGTGACAGCAGTGTCAAGATGACTACGGCGAACTTTTTAATGACGGAGAGACTTGTGGTCGCTGTTTTAAGTCATCCAAAGTTGTATGACTTTACAAATCTTGAATTTCATAATGTTATTTAAAAAATTCAATTATGAAAACATTGACAGCAACACTCGCGCACAATAGACCAGCTGATTCAGTTGTTATCTATAGTGACATTCAAAAGAGCACCGTGCTCCTTTTCTTCTTGTCAACATAAAATGCATTGTGGAGCGCCTCACGTCTCTGGAATGAAGAAGCGCGTTCGTTGTGATCGGCTTTTATGAGCAACACATATTTGTTAACTCGCATGACAGTAACACGTGCAAACACACGTGCTTACAGATGTTTTTTGCCAAAAAAGCAAAATGAAAGAAGAATATTCTGGCCACAGTTTGACACAGGAGTTGACGAACCAGCGCTGATCCTGGTCGTCTGTGCTGCCTGGAGCCGCGTCATAAACTCAACTAGGCATATTCATGATTTAGTGCAGACTACAATCAACAAACCACCCTTTTTCCATTTGGAAAATAACAGTTATTAATAGTTCTTATATACATTTTAAATAGCCTAATCTACAAATCAAACAAAGACAAATATTTTATAACTTCGCACCAAACTGATGCTTTCATTTTACAGCTTATAAAACATGTATGCAAATTAATGCAGTATCACATGTAAATAACAAAATTGTTATATGCTTAGCCTATACTTTAAAAAATGTATAGGTTCAAAGCCGTATGGTTCATTGTCATTATCTTGCACTATAGGCAGCGCGTGCGCACATAAACCGCAAGTAAGACGGAGGAAATAGGTTAAGTCATTATGGCCAATTATGGCAATATGTGAAATGTTGTTTTCTTATTAAACATTTATTTCTGAAATGTTACTAAAGTGGTTTATAGTTAAATGAAATGTTCAGTTCTTGATATAACATATGGATGTTATGTAATGTAAGTCAGCAATTGTAATGCAGCATCATAATGAACAAATATGCGCTAGTCATTGGCTTATATTAATAAGGAGTTCAAAAATGGTCACGTCCGTAACGCAAAATTGTGGTTGTTTAGAGCAAAGACCTGAGATGAGTTGGCGATCATAATTAGTATGGACATATTTTGGCTTTGTATACAAAGTTTCATTTTATTTGTTATAATATTTATTCCACAATATAAACTTTTTCATTAAATCGTTACGGACGTGACACGTGACCGAAGCTGCGTGATGTCTTAAATATGTAGCTCATAAATCAAAAGGGCAATAATGTTATGAAAAAGTAAGGGTAATTATTTATACTACAGACTCCAATCCTTCTGCAGAATGATTACTGTTAACATAAAGCATGGAAAAGGTGAGTCTTTAACCCCTTTTTTGAAAGCACGAAAAGTGGTTGGATGATAATGAAAATTACCATTGGCACAATCCTCATATTTCATGGATAAACAAAACAATTTCCTTAAAAATTCAACAAGAGCACATCATAACAATAAAATATAGACCTTAATAAGCAAATTGAAATAGGTTTTGTTATTTTGGTCAAAAGTTTATTTTTTCATGATAAGGTTGACATTTTCATGGAATTGCTCATATATATATATATATATTTTTTTTTAATCTTAAATCATAAAAATGTATACATATGACGACTTGAAATATTTCACATTGTGTGTAGTGAACTAATATAACACAAGTTTCACTTTTTGAAACAAATTATTGAAATAAATGGACTTTCCCTCGATATTAAATTTTTTTTGGCACACACATGCATGTTCTAACTTGTGAATTAGGTCATTAAAGTTAGGTACCTGTATATAATAATATATGACAGGGATTAATGAAGGTTGCCGACTAAAGTCTATCTTTTCAGATCTCACCTTAAACCAAAAATTCAAATGATGTAAAACATGGTTTTTATTTTTAACTTGGCAGTTTCATCTGACATATGAACATCGCTTCCTGTTTCATATTCCACTTCCTCCTCAAGCTGTACATTTTTCTACATCAAGTTTTATTAATTGGAAATATGTAATCATTGATTTTTCTGTATGTTTAAGTATGTTTATCTGGATGTTTTTTACGATATGTTAGGACCAGTGTTGGGGAAAGTTACTTTTGAAAGTAGAGCATTACAATATTGAGTTACTCCCCCAAAAAAGTAACTAATTGCTGTACTTAGTTACTTGTTATGGAAAGTAATGCGCTATATTTCTTTTGCGGTTTCCTTGCCTGGCTGAGGTTTGATCTCTTTCAGAAATTGTTATAAAGAAGAGAATTTCCTCAATAATAAAAGCAGTAACCTTTTTTTTTTTTGTCTAATTAATTGGTTTACCTGGAGAACGGGAACTGATGTCAATCATTTGTTGTTTAGCTGAAGGTAACGTTATTCAATGTGGTGTTTCTTGCAGTTGACAAGTTTTACTTGTTACATGTAATCTACACTTAACAACAATCCACTTTCTTTCTTCGATAAGTTTTAAAATAACAAGAATCGATTGCAAAAATGTAAGTCTTCAGCCTGCCATTGTTTCTGTTTCTAACTGAAGGTTTACATTAATATTTAGTAAATATACGGGAAGTTAAAATCTTGCCAGTGTTTCTAGTTGAAACCTAAAGTGGTTATAAGGTCTTAAAATGTATGGAAAGAGTCTTACAAAGGTCTTAAAAACTGATTCCTGTATATATGCTGTGCGAAAAAAAGAGACCTGATGCTGATGAGTGCGAGCCGACTGTTTTTTCCCTTGCAGCACGATTTCTCGTTGAATATATGAATAAACCTAAGATACATTTTTTTTCCGCAGTATATATTTTAAAGCCAATTAAGCTAGGTAAAAAGTAATTCTTGTTTCATTTTTCTAAATAAAACTCTAATAATATTTCTTATTTTTAAAAGTAACGTGTTACTTTACTTGTTACTTAATAAAAGTGATGTTATTACGCAACATGTGTTACTTATAACTAGGGCCATACAGAATCTGCTGAATTTTTTTGTTATTTCTGTGTAGAATTTTGTGGATAATCTGCCGACTTATGTGGAAGGATTTTGGGAGTATCGTTAAAAACTTAATACAGGAAATATAAAATAATACATTTTTGACTCTTGTTTAATGTTTACAATGCAAATCCAATTAGATCCACTTATACATTGGTGAACAAAGCAAGTCGCTCATGTAATATATCTCCTAAAAGACAGAAAATATTACTTTACAAACCGTATTGTAAATAAATCATATGAACATTTTTATATTATTACGTCAATGATATTACTCAAATTCATTAAAAAACTGAATAAATTTAAATATACACAGTTACACAAGTAAATAAATAGACTCAATGATAGGCTAAAAATCTGTGGACTTTTGCATGCACAGATTTTGTGTGGGCCTACTTGTAATGCATTTCCCCCCAACACTGAGAATGGAAACCAACCAAATTATGATATATTTTTTTTTTTTTTAAAGTTTTACATTATGCAATTGTTTTACAGAGATTTAGTTTGTTTGTTAGTCTATTCAGTGCCATTTTGAGTATTTGATTTTAATTGTCCGATTGGAATAAATCTCTTGAAGATTATTCATGATATTGATATTTTGTTGACCCATGTCCAGGTGGAGAGAGAGAAAGCCACCCTGAGCAGCACTGTGCATGAGCTCCAGCAGCAGTTAGTCCAGTCTAAAGATGCCTTCAGTGAGCAACAGGAGAAGATGGATCAACTGACTCAACATTTGGAGAACCTTCAGAACATGATCACTAAAAGGTCTGCTGAAGATGGAAATCGAATGAGCTCGTCCCCTACATCCCAAGATCCAGAAAATGGCATCAACTACTATGAAGTGGACACAAAAAGCACAGAAGTATTAGAATGCCGAATGCAAGCGGCCAATGAGGAGCTTGCACGTCTACATGTGAAGCTTAAAGATGCTGAAAAACGCTATAAAACCCTGGAGGAGCGATGTAAGCTGGAGAAACAACGTTGGAGAGGCGAGGCGCAAGATCTCGCTGATCAGATTCGCCAGTGTATTACTGCTAGCCGACAAGACCAGGAGAGAATAGGACAGTTGGAGAGAGAAATTGGTGCTACGCGGAAGGTTGCCACCGACTCTGAGGGCCACTTGAGTGCTGCACAGGAAGAGCTTCTGGCCTTCTCCGAGGATCTAGCCAACCTTTATCATCACGTGTGTGTTAGTAACAACCTCACGCCCAGTCGAGTTACACTGGATTACTATCGCGAAGGTGCCCAAGCAGTGAGAACACAAAACCATCAGCTGCCACACCACTACCGTGGATCCTTGCGCAGACAAAGGCGATCTGGTGAAGTGTTAGACCCTAACAGCACAGGAAGTGGAGATGCACCCTCTAACTGTGGAAGTTGTCCCGGATCTCCTACACTAGACTTCAGGGACCCAACCAATGTGCGCAACCTGGTGGCAGTCATACGCTGTCAGATTAAGCATTTGCAGGTATGTCTAGCATCTGTATGTACAATAATTGGAAGGCAGAAGATGCACAATGGTTTTCACTTAAAGGTCCCGTGAAGTACTTTGAAATATGCATTTTTATTCGATGTTTGGTGTAATCTCAACGGAAACACAGTTATATGTAGTGTAGCTCCTCCTTTTTTTTTTTTTTTTTTTTTTTTTAATTAATGGGTATAGAATAATTTTTAAACGGGTCCTAATTTTCTACATCCATGTAAATCTACCCAATCTGGCCAATACCCATTCATTCATGAATAATCCAACTCAAGACTTTTAACAAAAGTTTTATTTATTAGCTCTTTATACCAAATATGGTTTAATTGTGTTCCTTACAATAACAATTTGTTTGAAAGTTTTCTATCATGCATTTATAACTACCTTGTGAGGACGCTGACTTGGACACACTGTTGTAAATACATTTAGTTTATTTATAGTTTTAAAAGTTATCGATTTTTTTAAAAGAAAAGTTATAGTGAAAAATATATTACATTTGACTTGGTGAAACCTGTAGAAACCACGTTATATTGAAACGAATATCACATTTGACTTGGTGAAACCTACAGAAACCATGTTTTATTGAAAAATATATCACATTTGACATGGTCAAATCTCATGAAACCACGTTATAATGAAAAATATGACACATTTGACTTGGTGGAACCTCCAGAAACTATGTTATATTAAAAAATATGATGCATTTGACTTGGTGGAACTTGCAGAAACCCCATTATATTGAAAAATATATCACAATTGACTTGCATTGAAAAATATATCCCATTTGACTTGATGAAACCTGCGGAAACCCCATTACATTGAAAAATATATCACATTTGACTTGGTGAAACCTGCCGAAACCACATTAAATTGAAAAAGATATCACATTTGACTTGGTGGAACCTCCAGAAACCATGTTATATTTAAAAAATATGATACATTTGACTTGGTGGAACCTGCCGAAACCCCATTATATTGAAAAATATATCACAATTGACTTACATTGAAAAATATATCACATTTGACTTGGTGAAACCTGCAGAAACCCAGTTATATTGAAAAATATATCACAATTGACTTGGTAAAACCTGCAGCAACTCTGTTATATAGACAAATATATCACATTTGACTTGGTGAAACCTGCATAAACCCCGTTATATTGAACAATTTCTCACATTTGACTAGACATTGAAACCTGCAGAAACCCTATTTTCACCTTTCTTCAGTGTGTAATTTTGTCTTTTAAGAATAAAAATCATCCTCAGCTGTCCTAAGTGTTATTCTGGAAACGTACCAGTTTCATTTCAGCACTACTTAGTTTTCAACACAATTTTAAGAAATGTAGCTATTCATCATGTTCAACTGAGACGGGGGACGGTCAACACAACAGCGTCTTAAGATGCAGACAGATTTATTTGACTTTGATGGAGTTAAAAGTATCACAGCTTTTCACAAATGCAGGCTCTTTGTATTACAAACACATGCAAACCCTATGACTGCTGCAATTGAACTAATGCACAAAACAAATGCACATCTGTTTGCATTTTTATTGCACATGGAAAATACACAAGCGTGCTGTTGCTTTAAATTAAAAAACTCTTTAATTTAAAATTGCTGTTGTTTGATCAGTTTTATTAAGGTAAACGCAATGATTCATTCACACTGTGAGTATAATCACTCACATTAATTGCGAAAATTAAGTCTTCAAAAGTCTTGTAAAAACACTCCAGGGTTTTTCCAATGAGTGCTCTACAAAGGAAAGGATTAAACTGTTTATGTTAGTACTGACTTTAATGTATGGAAGGAAAAAAAGAGAAATTCTGTAGTAAGTAAATGATGGCAGAATGTTCATCTTTGGGTGGACTATCCTTAAAAGCATTTAAGGAGCCATTTTAGGGAGAAATATGAACCAATCTAACAGGCTGCATCATGATGCCTGACTGAATCTTCTTTAATACCAGATTATAGCTACATTTTTGCTTTCAGTCAGCGAACGAAGCCAACATTTTTTAAATAATGTTAATATAAATATCAAAATATGCCTATTTATTTTATTTTTTTTGTTTGTTTTATTGTTCCTGTCATAAAGTACATTCTATTTTGTGTTGTAATTCAGTTTGTTCAGCAATGATTGGAATAAACATGTTCCATAAATGTATTTGACCCATTTCTGCACCTTCTGAAGGTGGCCGTGGACTTGTGCAGGCAGCGCAGCCTGTTGTCCTCTCCAGCAGCTGGTGGAAGCACTGAATCCGACCGCGACACAGAGGCACTGATTGAAGAGGTGTTAAAACTTAAGTCCCTTCTTAGCACCAAGAGAGAGCAGATTGCCACTCTCAGAACTGTCCTAAAAGCTAACAAACAGGTAAGTTATGTGTTAGACTTGTAAGATGATTTAAAGCATACTTAATTTTTAGGCCCTACTTTTCAGCACTATTATTATTTTGTACGTAATATCCTTTGGTTGTGGTTATGTTGTCAATTTGAATGCAGTTCAAGCAGTAGTTTTATTCTGTATTTTCATTGAGCTGTTGGCAACTTCAACTCTGAATCATTAATAGCCAAATAATATCTGATGTTCTTGAAATGGATAATATTGATTGATTAGTTGGCTAATATATTAATCAGTAAGTGTTTTTATTTTGAATTGATTGAAGGGTGGTGTTAAAAATCTTTTACTAGGGGTATACTTGTTCACATAGTTTGGTTTTGATGCAGTGGTGTCATTGTCTGGTATGTTTTCGATACAGCGAAAAGAAAAAAAATCTTTAAAAATAGATAAAACTAAGATCCTAAAGCATTTTTTTTTTTTTTTGCTTTGAAATGTGATGGAGCTGTACTTAAGACCATATTCTGGGGTGTCTTCACAGCATATAAAAAGCTACTTTAAAAATTAGTCAATAAAATCATATTCAATTCATCTTTATTTCTATAGTGCTTTTACAATGTAGATTGTGTCAAAACAGCTTAACAGAGAAGTTCTAGTACATTGCAACTGTGTCAGTCCAGTTTTCAGAGTAAAAGTTTAGTTTATTTCAGTTCAGTGTGGTTTAAATTTCACTGCTGAAAGTCCAAACACTGAAGAGCAAATCCATTGTTGCACAGCTCCACTAGTCCCAAACCAAGCAAGCCAGTGGTGACAGTGGCAAGGAACAAACTTCACCAATTTCACAAACTTCACCAAATTCACCAATTCCCTTTTTGACGAAAGAGAAGGGAAAAAAAACCTTGAGAGAAACCAGGCTCAGTTGGGCACGACCATTTCTCCTCTGGCTAAACTTTTTGTGCAGAGTTGCTGTCTAGGTGCCAGAGGCTGGAGAATATTTAAGTAGTCATAAACAAATGCAAAAGTAAATAATTGTTTTATATATATTAAACCGTTTCTATGGGCAGCACAGATTTCCTTGATGTGACAATGCCACCTGTAGTGGAATACGCCCTGGCTTATGCTTATGATGGTTCAAAATGTTCGTGTGATTAATTGCTGAAGTTTTTATCACAGTATATAATATTTTCGGTATACAGTGGGCATGTGACGATGACCGTTTTCAATGTATACCGCGATTTAGAAAAGTCACGGTTTTAAAACCGCCAAAATTTTCTGTTATAAAGCACGTGTACATTTTTAAAAAAGTTTTTATTATTATTATTATTATTTTTAGGAGGACAGTATCTCCAGCAGAAGAGGTGTCTAAAGATGCTGTTTTAAATCATAAAAAATCTGTTTTTGAAACTAATGAAGACAGCAGAAATTAATGATTCATTTTAATTATTTAGCCTGACATGTTTACTGTTCCAAAGTATTTTAAATGTTTTACAAATTAAAATATATTGTGTTCAAAGGAGAAAAAAAGTTCTTGTTTTTTACACAGACATTTAAATGGAATTTATATTAGAGCAATCACAGTACCGTAATATTTTCATCCAAGGTCATTATAGCGTCAGAATCTCATACCGGCCCATGCCTAGTATACAGTATAAGATATTGAAAAAAAGTTACATCAACAGGTAAAATAGGCAAAAATGTTTAGTACATTCCTTAGTTGTATATACTGTGCATGTTTCAGAGTAAACTAATGTTTAAACTAAATTAAATTGCAAAAGTATCATAGGCCGTACTCACTGTAGGTACAGTTGCCTCGAACCGGGCCAAAGCACGCTTGTCCCCCCTCCCGTCTCCCCTGACGGCTCACGCTCACACCACAAACGGGCTTCGGCACGCTTACGTCATCGCTTCTGCGCTGAAGCACTCTCTCACTCAGCAGCACAGTGGTGATTTCTCTAGTTGTATCGTTTCAGTCGTTTGATATGCCATCAAATATTTCGCCAAACAGTCCTTAGAGATGCGGGGACACTCAGTCAGATATTTCGTCAAACAGATCCGCCACTTTTGGCGCTCATAAACAATCATAAAGCCCTCGTGCTGCAGGAATGAGGACGTATGCTGAAGGCGCGCAGCTGTCGTGCAGTGAGGGGTTTGCGTCTTTAATAAACTACGGCAGTTTGCGTTCACTGAACAGTAAGAATTATTAATAAATCCATATGAAACAGTGCCTTAAAAGTCACGTCTCGCTTTCAGTTTCGGGCTTTGACGCATTTTGCACTCACACACAAGCGTACCAAAGCCCAAGTGAACCGGGCTCAGGCACACCTCCTCCAACCAGGCCAGGGCCGGCCAAGTGAACCGTGCTTGAGCCCAATTAAGCGCACTCACACTTCTCAAATGATCCGGGAAACGGGCCTGGGCACGGGACGGATGGCATAGTGTGAGTAGGCCCATAAACTACAATAGGTTAAACTTTTCAGTAAAATATCATTTGTAAATCAGAATCAGAAAAGGCTTTATTGCCAGGTAGGTTTACACATACAAGGAATTTGTTTTGGTGACAGAGCTTCTACAGTGCAACAAACTTATAGAGACAGGACAAAAACGTATAAGTATATTTAAAAAAAAAAAGCAAGTAGTGAATGCTAATATGCAAATTGACAAGTGAATATACTGGCATATTACTATATACAATGTTATGTGCACAGCTGTTATGTGCAAATTGGCATGTAAAGTATGTTGTTAAATAAGTGTATATGTATAAAAAGTGTTAAATATGAGTTAATGCATTAAAATCAGCAGTAAAAAGCTATTCATTACAGTTGCTATGTTCATATTAGTTAAAACAAATTCAACTTTGATTCGTTTTTAACTAATTGTGCTATTATCATCATCATCATTATTATTAATATTAAGATAACCAATTAAGTCTGCAAATTCACAACTATATAAAAAAATATATGATGATATCAATATTATGCATGTTCATTATCATGATATATTAAATTATTGCGTATCGACGTAAGACATAAGTCTGCCATGGCTACAGCCAGGAATTATGGTCTGTCAGTTCTCAAAGTAAACTGAATAACTCCGAGATTTCCCTTTAACCTCTTTCTTTTTTCCTATTTAAGCATATTGTTTAGTTGTTTCCAATGAGAGTGCCAGGTTTTCTACAGCGCCAGCATCATGACAAGGAGCTTAACACAAACTGCTGAGTGCTCAGATTGTTTTTAATACGCCAGCCATTAGAAAATGAGCTATTAAACTTAAACTCAGAAATTAAACTCAGTGTTATAGTAGTGCTCTCAACTAGGCATGGGACGATAACTGTTTTTAAGGTATATCCGCGGTTTAAAAAAGTCAGGGGTTTAAAACTGCCAAAATTTTCTGCTGTACTGTTCCTATGGTATGTGTAAGATTTTTTATTTATTTTATTTTTTTGGACAACAGTATCTCCAGCAGAAAACGTATCCAAAGATGCCATTTTAAATTGTAAAGAAATCTGTGTTTTTGAAACAAATGAAGACAGTTATGATTGATTTTAATTATTTAGCCTGACATGTTTACTGTTCCAAAATATTTAAAATGTTTCTCAAAATAATTTATATTGTGTTCAATGGGGAAAAAGGTTTTGGTTTTTACCCAGACATTAAAAAAAAATATATATAATATAATATATTTTAGCGTAGTATCACAATACCTTATACCGGCCCATGCCTACCCTCAACCACTGACTGCTTTTGTGGACCCGGAACCTAAGCATGTTCTTTTTGTTCAGTTAATCGCATTATGTACATGTTATTAGCCATACTGCAAAGAACATGTCCTGTGTCTGCCTTACTGGTAAGTGTTTTTCTTTGGAGTAGGAGTGGCAGACCTTTTAATGCCCAAATGATTTTTAATCATTTGGTTTGTAGTGCGTATCCAACCCAAAACCTTGTACTGAACGGTTCGATGTGAATATGTTTATTGTTACACCCCTGTCTTTTACCCAATGCAGTATCTAGTGTAATTCTAAACCAACAAATTTGCTCTTGTTCTTTTAGACAGCAGAGTTGGCTTTGACCAACCTGAAGACGAAGTATGAGACAGAGAAAAGCATGGTGACTGAGACGATGATGAAGCTGAGGAATGAGCTGAAAGCCTTGAAGGAGGATGCAGCCACCTTCTCCTCATTGCGGGTCATGTTCGCCAGCAGGTATGATGGGATTACATGTGCACAAAGTGATTTGTGTACTCACAAGCCTGGGGAATTTTTCAGGTCAATGTCTGAAGCATGTAGCTCCTTTTTTATCAAGTGGGGGGGGGGGCCTTAAGGCTAAACCGGATGCATGTAAACTGCTTTGATTTATGCTTAGAGTTCAGATGAGTTCATGGGAGAAGTTGATTCTCACAGTTGATTTTCCCGATTTCCATGTTAATTCACAAAACTGATCAATTTTAGTTTTAAATCTAATAGATCTGTTGCCTTGGGCTGGCTCAAAGATGTATGTGTATGTGATACATTTCATAGTCATAGAGGAACTTGCACTGTGGGTAGCAGGCAGTGTTTGTTTATGTTTGTAGAAACACATACGAGAGGAGAGCTCTTAGGGATACAGAGTCACAGGGATTAGACAGTCAGGACCTTGTTTTAAGAGCAAGCTAATAAGATTATCATCTTAAGGCCCATTCTCCCACGAGCTCTGCTCACATGCTGATTAACGTGCACTCGTTCTGATCCCGTGTGCAGGCGAGGGCAGCTCAGTCTGGACTGATGTCATAGATCAAGTGTCACGGGAACAGCAAGTAGTAAAAGCAAGATTAATGCTTAATAAAGTCCCACAATTATAAAAACACTTTATGGAACATTTAAACGCTTGATTTTACATGTTGAAGAAACACTTTTTATGTATTAGGGCCCAAGGCTAAGGGGCGAAAGACCTGTTGTTTTTATTGTTTATTGACTATTGTTATTTATTTATTTTCAAGGTTTTGGGGGTTTTGGTATTCTTTACATATTCCAAAAATCCTGAAAGTATATAATGATAATGATTATAATTATATAATATATGATAATAAGGGCTGTAATGTACCGATCGGAATGCACGTGACCCATGGATTAATAAATTTTTAACTTGTAGGTTTATTCAACGTTTATTAACAATTGCAGAGAGATCCCCTCCCGTGTCATTACAATCACGTGTAAGAAAGCATTTTGGCTTCCCTGTAAAATATAATGATAAATGATGATGAAAGTCATGGTGGGACCTAAATGCTTTCTTAGGTTAATTAAAGATGTTTTCTGACACTGTTTGTTTGGCCTGCATTAATACCTTTAGTGTAAAGCTGCACAATTAAACATTAAAAGATTGTGATCTCAAACCCAACATGAATAGTAAATGATTTTTGATTTGCACATGTTTATTAATCCTTCGAATCGCTGCATTGAAATCTGCGTTTGATCGAGAGAGATCCAGTTTTTACACTTTTTCAATTCGTTATAAACAGTTGAATAACACAGAAGTACTGGGAAAACAGTTTATAGTTCGGATATAAACACTGATGTTTATGGTAAAGATTAAAATCACAGTTTTATGGAACTTGTAGCTAGTGAATGTTGTAGCAGTTCCGTTGTTTAACCATTGAGTGGCGACAAATAACCATCAAAATTATGTCACTGAATATGTTTTCAAAAATGATCCACCTATAATGAAACACATTTATGTGTGAGGTTTTTGAATCATTAATTGAAAATAAATATGATCTGTTGTAGAAGACGTTAGATTTCCATATTTAGCAGCAACAGCAGCAAAGCTCATCTTTTGTGTTGAATATTTTTCTTTTTTTTCTGCTGGTTCTTTCTTGATTTTTAATAAAATAACAGCTTATAAATTGTGGGGTTTTTTTTTTTAAACCAATGGTTTTTGCAGTAATATTTTTGTGTTAATGGAACGCAATTGGCATTTGTCTTCTCCATTTTTTGCTGATTTGAAAAATGGTCCGGTCTAAGTCTCAAAAACTGCAGTGTGATCCGAACCATGAGATTTGTGATGCGTTACACCACTAATAATAGTTTTGTTTTTTTTTTTTGTTTTTTTTACAAATTAATGAAGTGCACAGATACATATTTTAAAACAAACACTAATATATACATTATATGGGCAGCATTATAATATATAAAAAAGATTAAGTTTTGATTGCCAATCCTCTGCCCCGCCCACGTCGCAAACCCGCTCGCGAAAAATACACATTTAGTCCCCGTTTACATTAATACGTCTTAGTATTAAAATGGCATTTTAAAACAAAAATTATTCACATCCACACCGTGTTTTACCTAGCATTTCTGAACATCACGTGACCACACACACACACAGACAGAGCCACACACATTGTCATGCGCTCGTCTGAGCTGAGCTCCAGAGAGCAGTGCACGTCGGACAGTTTATCAAGGATGTACCGCTGGATCGCGTCTCACTATAGTTGTTAAAGTGATATTTAATTAATCTTGTCTCAATCTAATGACTCTTCGTTCTTTTGAATCTATCAGGTAACGTGTCACAGCATCAGTACACTGCTTCAGTCTTTCACTTTCACACTACTAATTTTAGTAAAAACCTCAGACATTGTTGGTTATGCACCTTTTTTACCGACCAATCTCCATCGGAAAAAGTGATTGGCAGGTGGTAATTTGTGTGTAATTTATTTTTATTTATTTATGATTTGGTTCTGGCTAAAGCAAAGACCATCAGGGCCAGGTAGTTTAAACGGTAGGCTACAAATAATGAATTCGCTATAAATGATTTAATTATTCAACGATGCCATCGTCTAACGCGTTGTTTCACATTAGACATCGTACGATGCCAAATTGGTCGACATCGCCCAACCCTAGTGTCCAGGCATTCTGATGACAACAAAAATTTAAAAAATAAATAAATAAAAACATAAACATTTATGGTTGCTTACAAACAGTGATTACTGACGTGTTTGTGCCTGTGGCACAGTGTTTTCCTGAATTCACAGGGGTGGCGATGCCACAAGGGCATGGGCCCGTCAATGCTGCTTGCAGCTTTAATTAATTCATTTTGCGATTATCTAACATAATTTAATTGTTACTTCAAATAAATATATATTTTATTTGCACAGTTTAGTTTTGCATGTTATCCCCTATCTTTAATATATGTGACATGTGTCGAGCCAAAATGTCAGAAGTCTGGGGCCAGTAAGAATTGACTTTTTGTTGTGGGTGCAGACAACTGCAACTATTTCCACACAATCTTTCATCAGACTTTAATAAAAACCGAAGGCTTTTAAGGGACATTTATGCAAAAAAGTAAGCCTTTCTATTCTTTCATTATTTGATTTTATATGTATCTCCATTCCTGTTTCCTGTGTTCTTATCATTCCCTGTGTTTTCACAGATGTGACCAGTACGTAACTCAGTTAGATGAGATGCAGAGACAGCTCGCCGCCGCTGAGGATGAGAAGAAGACCCTCAACTCTCTGCTTCGCATGGCCATTCAGCAGAAGCTGGCACTCACACAGCGGCTGGAGGACCTGGAGGCTCCTCTTTTCCCACTCAGCAATGGTGGCAGTCCACGCCATTCCTCCCGAACCAAACATATGAACAAAACAGGACGAGCTCCGCGGAGCCCCATGAGAAGCAGTCCGCGCTCCAGTCCGGTGCTTCCTACTGCCAGCCACATGAGGGCGATCTCACGCAGTCTTCACTGCAGTCCTGTAAGAGCACTTTCTTCTTCATCTTCCTCATCCTCCTCTTTTTCTACCTCAAATGAGCCCGAGTCCTCAACCTCCACTCAGAGTTTATCTTCTGTCGGACTTGTGCGCGACACTACTTTTGTTCGTAGCTACGGGTCAAGTTCTTCTCGCTCCTTAGATGATTCTACTGGAGGGTTGGGACCATTCGCTATTAAGTCACGGCAACCTAAAGTTAGTGAATTGCAAGCAAATACTTTGAAAGTATCCGCACCATTGCGCAGTAACACATTCATTAAAGCACGTCGTGCATCTTTACCTGTGTCCAAAATGCATTCTGCCGAAGTTCTTGCCACACGAGTGGGCAATATTGATAGATCGGAAAAGGCACGTAAAGTTACGATGGAGAATGATCTGAAACGTTCCAAAAAATCAGATGCAGAACGTGCGTTTCTCAAAAAGCAATCTAACATCTCCAAGTCACGATCTGCTGAGGGAACTACTTGGAGCCGGTTTGCTGCATCAAATACGGTTTCAACGACACAGTTGAAGTTTCGCCCTCAGACGACCACAAGTGTCGCATCTTCTAGTAGTCAGTCCACACAATATAGTTCATCAGATAAACAGCAGACCTTCCCCTATAGAACAAAAACATCCTCTAGGTTAGCCCAGCGTGACTTTGAGGAAAGGATTTCTAACCCAAGTCGAGAGATTAAGCGACAGCAAGATCAACTTCGAAAACAACAAAGAAGCGTCAATGGTGCAAACAGGTCAGCACAAACTTACACAAACCAGACCAAGTTTAGAGCCACATAACTGCTTAGCTGTTGGTGCTTAATGTGGCATATACAGTTGAAATCAGAATTTTTAACCCCCCCTTGAAATTTGTTTTCTTTTTCGAATATTTCCCAAATGATGTTTAACAGAGCAAGGAAATTTTCACCGTATGCCTGGAAATATTTTTTCTTCTGGAGAAAGTCGTGTTTGCTTTTATTTCGGCTAGAATAAAAGCAGTTTTTAATTTTTTTCAAAACATTTTAAGGTCAATATTATTAGCCCCTTTAAGCTATATATTTTTTCGATTGTCTGCTGAACAAACCATCGCTATACAATAACTTGCCTAATTACCCTAACCTGCCTAGTTAACCTAATTAACCTAGTTAAGCCTTTAAATGTCTTGAAAAATATCTAGTCAAATTTTATTTACTGTCATCATGGCAAAGATTAAATAAATCCGTTATTAGAGATGAGTTATTAAAACTATTATGCTTAGAAAAAAAAACTCTCCGTTGAACAGAAACTGAGGGAAAAAATAAACAAGAGAGTTAAAAATTCAGGGGGGCTAATAATTCTGACTTCAACTGTAAGTAACACAATCTTTACAACCCTAAGGTGATTAATTTAAAAAGCATACATGAAGAGATTTAGAATCTTCCGATAAAACTTGATGAAGTGGTTTAACCAGTCATTAGCCTTTTCACACAGTATATGCAGTTTAATTATGAGAAGTAACATTACCTGTAAATAACCCTAATTTTGTTTCTGAGGGCATGTGTATGAGGTCAGTCAATTATAAAAATGTTTACAGTACATCCATGCTGGTTTTTCTATATAATTATGTGGCAGATGAACCTATGACCATCGCCCTGCGTCTGGTGCTCAAAAATCTTCTTTCTTTTTCATTCATAGGCTCTGTTGTGTAAAATTGTGTACAGTAGTGTCTGCAAGTACTATTGCAGTACTTATGTTTTTACAAACAAAACACTTGATCTTTTAAATACTATCAAATTTAAGTTGAACAAAAACACTTCTCATTCTGTTCAATGAAGAAAACATTTGTTTTTTTTTTCACACAGATCAGATCTGTTCTATGACTGTGTAAACACGAAAAAGCGCTTGCATTTGGATATTCAGAGATTGTTTCAGGCCTCTTTCATATGTGGAAATATGAATTTCTTTTTTTTTTTTTTTTTTTTTGCACGTCATTTAAAACCATAGCGAATATGAACGCTGACACTTTCATTATAGAACAGATTTCAGCAGAGTTAAAACCTTAAATCTCGTACATGAGGACTTAAAAAGCTGTTATATTGTCATATAGCACAAGTATTTAAGCATGTTAGAGAGAGAGAGAGAGAGAGAGAGAGAGAGAGAGAAACATCCATCACACAACCAATGTAAACTATTATAAATATAAGGCATACATCACATCCATAAACGCTATGGACATTACATTAAGATACCTACTGGTTTAAAAATGCCTTGATTAAAAGAAAATGGGAAATCGAGAACTTTTCTGTCATGAACTATAAAAAACTATAAAATACAAAAAAAAAATTAAACCCAGTGAACACATTAACAACAGGAATGGAGAAAAGGGCGCTGTTTTATCAGCTGTCAGTCAGCGCCCACTCTTTTTTTTTTTTTTTTTTTTGTACCTGGTCATTGCGTCTTTGCCGTGTGCTTTTTAAAAACAGACAATCAGATTTAAGTCCCTTTTAAAAGATGATGCAGTGTTTTCTCTAGGAATTTTTTCCAGTTGTGGCAGCAGGTCTTTTACACAAACCTACCAACTACCATTATTTTAATGACAAATGGAGAAATGTCGTGAGTGCAGTCGAAATCACATTTATGTAATACGAGCATGCAAATCTCTTTGCTTGCACGCCGATTTCCTCGTGCACAACATTTCTTGCATGCCCTTAAATAATTGCTGCTCAAGCGCAGATCTTCTTGTGCGCTCTCAAATAAACGCTGCTGAAGTGTGATTTCACGCGTTTATGTAGTATCTCTCCAATGTTTATTAGATTTGCTAGGAATATATATGAATGTCTCCAATAGACCTACAGAGCGGCATTAATGTGTCCTGAAGTAAAGTGAAATGGCAATAAACTCCAGCAAGATAAAGTCATTATATGCAGAACCACAGAACTTTATCTATAAATAAAGTATAATCTTGGAAATTGTGTTCATCTAAACTGAAAGGTACGTCGTGTTTGCTTGCCTCACGCATCCTGTACCTGTCAGCAGTCAGTCACCTTAAAGGGTTAAACAAACGCCGCACAACACTACTACGGTTACAGAAAAGTTTGCGCTGTTATGATTTACTTAACTAATAATATGTTTTAGTGTGATTATAACCCGATGCGTCATTAGGATGGCGCCGAGCATGGCCGCCGTGTTGCGAGCTACCAGCAAACTTTGTTGTGTTTTGTGTGTTGTATTTTTGTCGTTTTTCTGTCGTTGTATTTGCACTGTTTTATCTGTATTTTGTACTGTCTGGAGTCAGCACCTGAGATTTTAAGTCATCATAGCACACGTGCTGCTGATGATGTGACAATAAAAGTGATTTGATTTGATTTTATATTAAAAAAACAAGAACAACAATGACTAAAAGTTTTGAATAAGACGCTGTAATATAGCCATGGCCGGAAGGATTTTGGTGTGGCGCCCCGCCATGGAAGAATGATTGAGCGGAAACCATGTGATGTAAGGTCAGCAATAAAATCGGATACAGTCACAAAATCGAAATTGACCATCAAGATCTGCAGTGTAAATGCAGCCTATCATGTAAACGGGCTGATCGGATTTATTGAGCCATTCTGTTTTGTACTTGCGACAACGTGGTACTTCTCCTCGGTTTAATGACGTAACTTGCAGCAATTTGTTGATTATCCCTGACAAACAAAAATACACATATGTACAGTACATGTGTGTGTGTGTGGCTTAATTTTTTGCTGGAACAAGCAAAAATGGCCATTTATTTTAGTCGGGAAAATGGAATTGAGCAAAAACCTCACCAAAGTGAAGTCTTTATTCATTTATTCTGGTCAAATTATGAGTGTGGATTAATTTTAAGTGTTAGAAATTTATGGAAGGCTTGACTTTTTAAAAGGATTTGGTGCAATAATGGAGCTTTTTGTATTGTTTTTTTTTTTCATTGTAATTTTCTTAGTTTTTTCTGTTTAGGAAGTATATAGGAAAATATCTTGTGTGAAGAAGCATTTTGAATAAGGTTTTTTCAAAATTCAATTCTCTCGTTTCATTTCAGCATTTGACATTTGTGTGAGTGATCTTTAACTCACTGTCTGACTGTCTTTGCAGAGATGAACATCTCCTCGTGTCCTCCACCCTCATCAGACCTCACCTCATTGGATCTCCAGTCATGTCTCTCCTCGTGCCTCTCCCACCCTCTCTCGCATCTTTATCCTCCATGTGTTTGATCCAGTCATTCAGCTTCAAGATGCTCAAAGCTGAACACCATCATGACATCCCATGATGAGCCATCATTCAGCTGTTCCTTCCTTATTCATGACAGCATGTACTTCCCACCGGCTCTGGCTGACCTTTCCTGATCTTTCCTGACCTTTCCCAGCCATAGACAAACACTGAATGGCGGATTTTTTAGGACATTCCTCTGGTGTAACTGACTAAAAGTCTACAGAGTTTTTATTGGTTATTTACTAGCAACCTGGCCTTTTAAAGACCAATGCAAAACACACACACACACACACACACACTCAAGCAGTAGTCAGAACAATGAACTATGCAGATGTACAAAGACTTTTGCTGCTAATTAGCTCGTGCACAATAAATAAATAAATAAATCAACTTCCTAAACTGCCAGTTTATCCTGCCTTCAAGTAAGGGTTAACCCGCAGCACTGTTTGACATGTGATTTTACTTTTACGGAGTCAGACTGTGGAAAACTGCTCACTGTGTTTGACCAATAAAGTCTTGGGAACACATTAATGGCTAAAGAAAATGGATTTGGATTTAAAGTAGTGCCTTAATTCTTTGAAGATTTGAGTGGAGGCTTGTAGATAATTGGTTTCATATTTTGTTTCTTGAATTAACGGGAAGAGTTTAGATGGTTTTAAGACTAATTATGGACATTTGTTTGTGCATGTATGTGCTGATAATGGTAAATTCCCTGGAATAGGCCTGTTTTGTTAAAAAACTAGGCCTTAGCAACCAATATTCGATTGTTCTTGTGAGAACTGTGTAAGATGTTGTTGATCTGCCTGTCCAACACTTTCATCTTGTTTCATTCAGCCTGTTTTGATTTTCCATATTGCAAAAACAAAATCTTCCTGTTGTATTTTTATTGTTTTCATTCCGTTTTTACCTGATTTTCTTTTTGTATTTTATTTTTCAGACCTACAGAGTAATACATTTCATGTAATATTAGATTTATCTTGTTTGTGGTCATTGTAGTGAAGAAATAAAATTATTTTCAATGTTTCATGCGTTTCCGCTGTTTCTTATTTATGTAGGTTTGACACCCAGTGGTTGAACTAGGAACAAGCGCAAGCTCAGGTTACCAGATTGACAACATAAAGAGAAACGAGCCTGACTTTCCTACACCTGTAATTTATATTTTATAAATGGCTTCTATCACTTTTTCTAAAATAGTATCAAATTTTATTATATAATATCAAAGATTTCCTGTATTTTTAACATTTTTAAAAATTTAACTTTAAAGAGAAAACCTACGTGTTTAATCATTTTATAATTTGGTGTTTTGTTTTAGTACATATGAATAAGAAATGAAAATAATTTTATTCATTTCAGTTGCTTAATGTAAAAACAAATAACAATAATAAAATTGACAGTAAAATGGAAAGGATTTTGTGATGCTTCTCTTTGGGCCTTTTTTAGCTATTAACCTATAATAAAGTACACTGAAAAAAAAGATGTCTGCAAAACTTTTGCAAACTATTTATTTATGTTGAAAAAAAAATTGTAAATCCAAGGAATCATCTCTAATTATTTTTTTCAGTGTACTCTTGCTGAGTGAGAGTTCTTATGTCTAAGATTAGTGACATTAGTGAACATTTGGATACTGTACTCTTACTGTATATTCGAATAATAACCCTGGATAATTTGAGTGCTCTCACTATTCATTACAAAGTTCTCCAATTTCCTCTCTGTGCCCAGAGTCGAAATTCAGGTTTGAATGTTTTGTGCCCTCTACGTTGACATTTGGCTGTTTTTAGTTGGAGGGGTTGGTTTTTGTCATTGCGTCTTGCAGTAAACAGATCCCTGTGCTCAGTCTGACTTTACATGACTGACGGCGGACCAAAACTTCTCTTTGTTACTTCAAACCAATTGTGATGAAAGAGACTGGAGAAATTAGTCTGAATAAGAGTATACTCTTTTATTAAAATGGGGTGTCACACTTAAAGGAATAGTTTACTCAAAAATGAATATTTACTCACTATTTATTCTCCCTGGAGTGGTTCCAAATATTTATGAATTTTATGAATATTTATGAGTATTAACACACCTCCATTAGTTTCTCCACTAATGAGATTTCAAATCTCTCAGATGCTTCCTACCCGTGGCCAGTTGAGTAATCTCATTACCACTCTTTGAATCTCAGGGTTTTTTAGGGATCCTCCCCATGACCATTTAAGGTCTTTCCTTTCTACTTCAAATGTGGCAAATCAATGCTCAGCAATATATCTTGTTCACTGTACCTTGAGCTGTCAACTGTACGCTTCATCTGATGTTCCCGGGCAGTTTTTGGGTAATCATTTTTTTAATTCATTGCAACTATAAGCGGGTCGCATGTCTGAGTGTGCAGATGTGTATGATCATGAGTTGTACATGAAGATAGATACATAATAATTATACTGAAGATAGATACATAATAATAATAATACTGAAATCACTCAAATAAGCATATAAATGACAGTAATAAACTCAGAAATTCATCAAGACACAATGAATTCCCCATCAAAACCTGTAACTGACATCTATGGGGAAAAACAGTGCAAGTCAATGGTTACGTTTCCAGCTTTCTTCAAAGTATATTCTTTTGTGTTCAACAGGAGAAGGAAAGTCAAATAGGTTTGTTACAAGTGAAGAACTATCAAATTTATTCCCCAGTTCACTATGTTTTGTTGAAATGTTGGGCACGAACAGTACCTTCAGGACAAAAAAGTCTGCACTTAACCTATTGGAACTGCTGTATCCCAGTCCCATGTTATGTAAAAGTCACACAAATGTTGATTAAAAACGTTAAGATATTTACACTAATTAAAACATTAAAATGGAAATTTTAGTAACATTTATTTTTCCATTTTAGAACTGTAAAGCAAATGATGTTTTGTCTGCTTTTGGAAGTGCAGGCCAAATTAATAAAAATTATTTAACTGTAACTATGTGTCTGTTTTGGTATGTAAGGCGTACAAAAACGACTGCAGAATGGTCTAATAATCATCACAGCAAAAACGGTAAACTAGTAATTTTTGGCAGATATGACTGAAAAGGGATAGTTCACACACACACACACACACAAAAACTATTCACTCTGCCTTATATATATGTGTGTGTGTGTGTGTGTGTGTGTGTGTATGTATATATACACACATACACTTTTGTGTTTAATGATTTGTCATACGTCATTGAGCTGAACTGGTCTGGAGCTTGAGTTTGTCTGTTTTTTTAAGTATTTTCATGAACAGTATTTCATAATTGGGAATTCATATTGTGTGTAGATAATGCCTTCACTCGTAGAGACTGTCTGGATAGATTAATTTGTTGATCATTTATTTTAATTAAACGATATGAAGATACTGCTAACCAGTGCAGCCTGTCTTTTCCCTGCTCTCAGTAATGTAAACGAGTGAATAAATGTGTAAACATATATACAAATTAACTCATTTTGCCATGATCAAGTGATTTCTTGTAGTTTTTTTTCCTTCTTCATCTGAACACATTTAACTCTATCATAACTGCAATATTTACACTCCATAAAATGTATAGCAGATGTGGTATGGGCTGCTTTATGCTGTACTTCATGACAAAAAAAGAATATTGAATGTTGTTCTCGATCTATGATGGAACTTGCAGACATTTGATAGACTTGTTCCTCACGCCTCATTTCTGTCATCTGTTAAGGTAAGCGGGTTGTGTGCACATGTGCGATACACTTATTTAAATATGTCTTATGATACTGTATGTAGGCACATTTATACACACAGTTTTAAAACTTTTACAACAACCGTAAAGCAAAACAGATGTATTTTCCAGGTAAAAACAATCCAAAAGGCATGCAAGTCTATGTGTTTTTGCGTATTTATTTGTTTATAATATATAACGTGGGTTATAATATAATAACCTGAGAGATTATATCTTTGTCATGGACTGTATTTCTGAAAAAAGCTAGAAAAGTTGTCTGTAGCAGGGTGGGGCTGAGGTCCCAGGCGAGCGCCCCGAAGGCACTGTAGTCCGTTTATAGCCTAATGTATTTACGATCCAAAAGTGCTCAAAGTTGTATTTTGGTGCGAGGATTAGCCTATCTGGCTGGACAAAACGTGTAAGTGAAATGAACAGTGTCTGAACACAGAGTTTATTATTTGCAATCTTCGAAAAGCCTCCTTTTCCCCCACTCTATCCGCTTGTTAAGTGTGACGTCATGCGAAGCGGCTTCCGGGTCCAAGCGCTCTATTCAACTGAATGCGGAGACTCATGAAATGGTAATAATAAACGTTTACAAAGCGATTTAATGCTTTCAAAAATCACGATCGCAGTATATATGTCCATGCCTAATATCCAATGGCCAGAAAGTGATTAATTTTTTTTATAAATTGTTACATTTTGTTGTATTTGTTATGCAGCAAGCCCAGAGATTGTTGTGTACACTATGATTTTATATAAAATTAACTTTAATGTGTGATAGGAATAAAACGTGATCATAAACGAATGATTTCTCCACTCAAATGAATGGCGGCTTACGTCACAAACACGTCACCACTTAACAAGCGGATAGAAACAACTAAAACCTAAGCAAAAAACAAACAAACGTGTATGTTTTGTTGAAATATTGGGTACAAAACATTGCTCCTCAGTACCATCAGCCAGGGTTTCCAGCTTTCTTCAAAATATCTTATTTTGTGTTCAATAACAGAATAAAGATAAGAAACACGAGAAGAGCAAGTGCTGATAAAACTTTAAATTTGGGGTGAACTATCCCTTTAATGTGAAGAAAATGTGGGGCTAGGATTGGAAGCCGTTTGATTTCTCGCACGCTTACTGCCCCCAAGCGGTGACTAAGTGAAATGCGATACAGCACCTTTCTCAGGTGTCCACCGCCGTGTTGAGAGGTAAACAGATATCTGACTCATACTCACGCCGCTGCTCAGAAGAGACCTCGCTCATGGAGCCCTGACACACTTTCGGTGAGTTCAGAACTAAGCTTTCGCTCTTTCTAGTATCGTTTAACAACAACGTTGTGTTCGATGCAAGAAGACTTGTTTTAATGATGATTTGCATAATATAATTTCCCTGAATGAAGATGGGCTGTTTAGATGTCTACAACACATCCAGACTGTAGTGAATTATTCACCTCAGGCATGTATTGGTGTGTTATTTTCTAAACCAAACTAATTGTAAAGTTTCAATGTTTTAAATACAACGCTTTACTACTACTATTACCACTGAATTAGGTTATTATGACCAATTTGAGTCATAATTATGACTTTTCATTGAATTATCACCCAAATTTGTCATAATAACCTTTTATCTTTTTAATCAGCGGCTGAAACGGACTTCCATATATTACAATATATGCAGTAAATTAATATTTTAGTTGTAAGATTTCTAAAATGTATGAGCTTGGAGGACTAAACCACACTTACAATATTTTACACACAGGTAAAATGTTTGCCAAAGATACAAATGCTTTTTCAAAATGATTAAATTTCTTTTTTTATGCAAAAAAAAAAAAAAAAATAGAATATCAGATAAATATCATGTTTTGTTATGATATTTAGTAAATTTTCTTCTGTAAACTTATCAAAACTTTAATTTAGACAGCGTTAAAGGAGATTTTCTTAGTATTTCTGTTTAATTTTATCCTCAGAATGAAATTAGTTGCATCTAAACAAATAATGTCCAAATCCTTACAAAATGTACATCAATAGGAAGCTTATTTACTCAACTTTCATATAACACATACATATCAATTTCCAAAAATCAACACTTATGACGGGGTCATGTATATCATGCACACTTTGGCGCTGGTGAGCAATCTGTTGATGTGATTTTGCTTGAAATGACAAATGATTTGAGTGGGGCAGGTATTTGACCAGCGGATAAATTATAGATCCCCACTTAGGTGAAACTCAATCTCTCCCCTCTTGTTACTCTCTTTGCTTTCATTGGCGACCCCAATGCACAGTTTCCCAGCATGCAGCAGGAGCTTTGGCTGAGGGCCCTTCCTGATACCTGCGTGTGCGATGAGATCAGCCGCTGCACAATCACTCCCGATAAGACCAACCGAGCAAGAACTGAAAAATGCCATATCCAACAGCATCGCCGGACACAACCACGTCTCCAGCAGACCAGCACAGCCTCGAGCCAAGTCCACCTCAGACACAGTTCATTGCGGTTCTTTGCATCATCATGGCCATAATCGAGGTGCGTTGCCATGCTATTTTTTACACACGCAGTGACATGAGAAGTGTGTCTTATAGAATCTTGCAGAAATAACTTTTGTGTCTAAGAAAATGCAGATAAATGTGATACTGCCGAGGGTCCCTGGAACCTGAACAACCCAGTGAAAGCCTCGAGGAGCCACCAGGAGCTTCACAAAGAGCTGTTACTGGCCCACAGAAAGTAAGATCACTATACAGAAAGTTCTGCCTCCTAAAACTATCCACGAGGACTCTGATAAATCGTAAAAGTGGGTTGGTGAAATATTGATGAAGCCTCGCTCGCTCTCTCTCGCTGGGCTTTTGTATCAGGCAGTCATGTGTGGACACACCGACTGCAATCGTACACCCTCTGGTTTTATCAGCAGAGTATGCTCAGGCCACGCTGTGTCAGACACTGTAATGATAGGCCTTTCCTGACAGCGTGTCCTTTAGAGACTACAGAAATCAGAAGATCAGTTAGTTTGGCTGCTTCTGTAGAAAAACAGGAGCTCAAAAGTAAATCAAATGAGCATGGCTTGATGAATGAGATGAGAGGGAAATTCAGTATTTTAAAGCTTTTGGTTTGTGCAAAAGTTTGCATTCTTTTAGATGCTTACTATATGTTGGGGGAATTATATTCCAGTGCTTTTGCCAGGGAACACAATATTTTGCTGGCTAATTCAACGGTTTTTAATAAATACATGTATATTATAAACAGAAAAAAATGTTTCCTGGCATATATTTTGACATATTATATATATATTTATATATATATATATATATATATATATATATATATATATATATATATATATATATATATATATATATATATATATATATATATATATATATATATATATATATATATATATATATATATATATATATATATATATATGAGCAATATCACTCAAATAGCAGTATGGTATGGCTAGTGGTAGGCATGCGTTGCCTTTGTGCCCCACCAGTGACGATATACAGCCTTACCACACTGCTACACACTGCTGTGATATTGCATTTATAAAACAGTTTGATAGCATAATCGTGTATATTTAAAAAAGAAAGTCAAACATTGAGGGCCCAATCATACACTCTGCGCAACGTAATGCAAACGTTATTTGCTAGTTTCAGCTCGACGCAAGTGTCATTTTGATGTTTTGCACCATGCTGTATAAATATATATCATATGTGCGTCCATAGGCATTCTGGTCTAAAATGGAGGTGTGTTAAGGTGCATTGCTGGCGCGTTGCTATTTTGAGGAACTGAAATAGACTGCGCAATAGACCAGCTGAGACTGAGAGCAGGTCTAAAGTCCAGCGCTGAGCGTTTCAGTTGTGCGCCTCGCTTACACATTGCTTAAAACATGCAGGATGTACAGCAAATACGCAAATATCTTTACAAATGAAAAAATTTAAGGATTAAAATATTACAAAAATTATTATTTTCTATAAAAATAGAAACCACTACCTCCATGCCTTTATCTCGGGAGCTTTTTTCAGTTTATTCATGACATCTTGCTTTGCTTTGTATAATGTTATTGATATCATTAGTATTATTTATTATGTGCATATTTATATTTGTTTTATTAAAACAAGCCTAGATTTGTTCACCTGTCAGGTTTTGGACCACATGGGACATAGGACATGTCTTTGGATATATATATATATATATATATATATATATATATTCGTTTGCTGGAAACCTTTTTTAGAGCTAGTTTTGAAACAAATCTTTGCGCTTAAACTAATCTAATTATGTAGGCTAACGGATGTCTTCAGTGGAGAACGTACAACACAGTTTCCTTATCCACAAAAGAGTGAAAGTTAAGGCAGAATGAATTAGGCTCATTATCCTCTTGATGCAGATGCTGTTTAGATAACTGTTTTCATAACTGTTTTGAAGTGTTCAGTTTTTCCACTTATAAAGTTCGCCATGTAAATAGCAAATGTGCCATGAAGTGACCCAGCTGACTCCTAAAGGGAATGTGAGATGAGACTCTGATTGGTTTATTCTCAAAACACATCTATAACTCAATAAGAGAATAAGCTCAATCCTGTTAGACCATGCGTCACGGCACAGAGTGTGTTTTCCCATCTTTAAAATAGCAAAACTGGCATCGGATACGTCCTTAATGCTTTTGTGCCCTGCACTTTGGACTTTGCGCCTAGATCAATAAAATAGAGCCCGGAGAGTCTAAAAACCCTTTTGTATTAGGAACTATTTTCTTTCGCTATTCATTCACATCTGCAGGTGACGTCAGACAGCTAATTCACAAAACTTTCTTCATTTGAATGATTCTCTATACTAATGTCTAGTGATGACAAAACAGGTGATTGTGCTCACATTTTAAGTTTATAAGACTGACTGGCTTAAAATGCCATTAGTCTATAGAGATTTCCCAGTATTTCTCTGTTTCAATCGTGAGATCACAATAATTAACCCCAAAAAAGCTATAGAAGTGCAAACACTACCAGATTACTGTTGTGTTTGCTGTAAGGAAAAATGCTAAACACATGCGGGAATATCTTCTTTCAACTAGTCTGTAGTATTGAAAACAGGAGACACATTAGAAACAAATAGATGGCAAACCTAAAATAACTCAGGGTTATACAAAGAGGGCCCAACACAAAATACATACATTCCTAATAAGTGAGTTCCATCTCACATTCAATACACTACAATTACAGCACTACAACGTACAAAAGAGAGAGATCGACTTAGAAAGTCACTTACCAGTTTTATAATGATTTGATAAGCTGTAGTTTAACATTACGCTAACATTTTTCCTCCTCTAAGGGCTTATTATGCGGTCTCTGTCACCATCTTGTGCATGGTGCAGCTTAGATACAATCTAGATACAAACTACATTCTCTCCTAAAAAAAGCCTCAAAAGTACATTATTTTGTCCAACAGCTGCAATATTTGAGTTTATTGATCTGCTGTCACTTTATGTGAGGAGAGTAATACACAAGGGTGAGGAGGCTGTACGAGTGCTGTTACTGTAGAATATTGCACGGCTGTCTGCCAATTAGATTTGTGAACCAGACAGCAGGGTTGTACAAATATATATAATTAACTTTTAAATGTGTAATACAAAGAAATATTGTTCATTAATAGCTGTTGTGATAGGATTCACAATCATCATTTCAAAGCTTTTAAAAACTTTTGCTATTTGATGGAAATTAAATAGAAAAAAGTACATTGCAATGCTTTTTTGAGAGAAATTCTAAAAGTTTTGTGTGAGTTACCAATATTTCTTAGGAGCACGCAAAAGCTTTGTAAAAGGGGCATCATGTAGAGCAGTGTTTCTCAACCACATTCCTGGAGGAACACCAGCTTTACAAATGATCCATGTCTTCTTAACCAAACCCACCTGATTCAGATCATCAGCAGAGACTGAAATACCTGTAATGGGTGTAACAGACATCCAAGACATTCAGTGCTGGCAGTCCTTCAGAAACGTGATTGAGAAACACTGATGTACAGTTCCATATGATGTCACAATACAAAAAGGACATTTTGAAATTACTTTATTATTAATTATTTCCTCAATTGCTCTTAAATTTTGAATTAATAATTTGCTAAGTGCATAGATGCAAATGTAAATTTCCCTTAGGTCCGAAACCTTCTTCTACTCAGTAGGTACTGCATTTAAATGTAAATGTACTAGTCGGCCCTTAGAAAAGTACATTATATACAGTATGAATGTGAGCCGTATGAATTTAACTTGGATTTACTGCATCTGCCATTTTGTCATGATCATGTGACCTTTTCTCATGAGTTGCATCGCTTCACTTCCATTCATAAATTCTCTCAGGGGGCATCATGGGATCTGCATTTCAGAATCTCGCCGGTAGTAGTAGGTCATCCGGGTACTTCTCGCATATCGATTTTAGAATTCTGTGAATTCGGACATACTACTCAACTCGCTTACTGATTTTAGCGTACTATATAGTATGGAAGTATGCGGTTTTGGGCGCAGCAATAGACTTTATCAGATTACGTATATTTTAGTAAATGTCCACGGCTCACATATATAATCACACTGCTGCAACTGTCAGTTCTGACATCAAACAGAAATGGTGAGAAGGAGTCTGTAGAGTTGTAATAACTCTTCCCAAACACTTTTCCCCATATTTCTGAATGAAAAACTTTACTACATCCATTCAGCTCACAGTAGAAAAAACAAGCCACTCCCACTGTTTTGTCATTTAGTATTCTATTTCTCTAAGAGCTGCGTCACAATATGAATTAATAACGGTCGCACCTTCCGATTTATGGGGACTTAAAGGGGCATTAAGCAAATTTTCCCCCAAAATGTTGATATTTCAAAGCACAAAACTTGCCTATAGACCCACAACACCTTTTCCCACTTTGATAAATCTGTTGTAGTTACCAGACACAACCCTTTCTGCAGATTGGCTGAGTGTGTTTTGGATTTAGTTTGACTCAAAAGCATTTTTAAATATTGCTTAGAGCACATTTAAAAGGGTAGATCACCCCAAAAAAAGTTTACTCAATATAAACTCACTTTAAAGTTTAGATTAAATGTTTATGAGCGTCTTTATTCTGTTGAATTCAAGAGTGAAAACATGTAACTGTTGACTTTCATAGTAAAAAAAAACTAATGGAAGTCAAAACGCAAAGTTTTCCAGCGTTCTTCAAAATATCTTCTTTTATGTTCAACAAAAGAACGAGAGTCAAACAAGTTTGGAACAAGTAAAAAAATCAGTAAATATAGCTGTTTCTGTTTCTGAGTGAACTATCCCTTTATCTCAGGGCTGTCCAAAAATCGGTCCTGAAGGGCCAGTGTCCTGGAGAGTTTAGCTCCAACCCTAATCAGACACACCTGAAACAGCTAATCCAGATCTTACTAGCTATCCTAAAAACCTCTTGGCAGCTGTGTTGAAGCAAGTTGGAGCAAAACTCAGCAGGACACCGACCCTTTAGGGCCGAGTTTGGACACCCCTGCTGTTCTAAAGTAAAAATAATACAATTTAAATTAGAAAATTAGAAAATTAAATTAGAAAATTAATACTTTTAGCAAACAAATAACAATCAAATACCTAAAAATGTCAAGAGGTAAGATTTACAAGAAAACAATTAAATAAAATGTAAAAAATTCAAATCAAAGCATACTTTTTTCAGAATAATAACCATGCAATTATTAGTGAAATAGCACTGGTAAAATGTTACTTTGATATGTGTTTTGTGTTTGGCTCTTTGGGCGGGACAGAGGGCTGGTGGTGTGTGCTAAGCCAGAGCTTCAGATGGTCCTGGAGAGGAGGAAGAGAGAGAAGACGCAGAAGGAAGAGGGCGAGCAGAGCAGGAGTCCTCTGGAGCAGGTGCTTCTCCAACGCCAGCAGAAGCATCAGGAGATGATGGTCAGCAGCCTCCTAAATGTGTGTGCTGAAACCAAACAAACACAAACCTTTATGCCAGCATTTCAGATTCATGTTTTAGCATGCAGCTTAATTCTTGACAAAAAATCATGAGGTTAAAATCACATTTTGTACAGTTAAATTCAAAATTATTAGCAATTCTCTGAGTTTTTTTTTTCTTTTTCAAATATTTCGCAAATTATGTTTAATAGAGCAAGAATATATTTTTTTTACAGAATTTCATGTAATATTTTTTACTTATTTGTTTTATTTTGGCTAGAATTATTATTTTAAAACCATTTTAAGGTCAATATTATTGGCCTTTAAGCAGTATATATTTTTGTTGATTGTTTACAGAGCAAATCATTGTTATTCAATGATTAGCCTAATTACCCTAACTTGCCTAGTTTTACTAGTATCTTAAAATATTCATTCATTCATTTTCTTGTCGCCTTATTCCCTTTATTACTCTGGGGTCGCCACAGCGGAATGAACCGCCAACTTATCCAGCAAGTTTTTACGCAGCGAATGCCCTTCCTAACCGCAACCCATCTCTGGGAAACATTCACACACACACACACACACTCATACACTACGGACAATTTAGCCTACCCAATTCACCTGTACTGCATTTTTTTGGACTGTGGGGGAAACCGGAGCACCCGGAGGAAACCCGCGCGAAGTCAGGGAGAACATGCAAACTCCACACAGAAACGCCAACTGAGCCGAATATATATGTAGTAAAATATTATGTTGTCATCTTGGCAAAGATTTTTAAAAAGTCAGTTATTAAATATTAGAAAACAATTATGATTAGAAATCTTCTTTCCGTTAAACAGAAGTTGGGGGAAAAATACAGGGGCCTAATAATTAAACTGTACAGTTTTTTTCATTATAATTTCCACAATCCACTAGAACAATTTTATATAGTAATTACATTATCCTAAAATGTTTCGAAGAATGTTCAAATCCAGAGAAATAAGCAATTTTAGGAAATTTCTGGTTTGGTTGTTCTAAAAACGTGAATACACTAAAGTTGCTTTAATATGTTGTGTTATAATGGACTCCGCAAAGTAGCATTATAATAGAACTCTAAAATGTATTTATTGTGATATAACAGCTTTGCTTTTTCCCCATGTGATCATGACTGGAAGACGTAGAAGAGTTTGCGTCATGCTTGTTTTTTGTTTTAATTTTTGCTTTACTTCATACTATCATGATAATAAGTTTTGAATAATTTAGCTCATCCATAAACATGATTTCTGCTCAAGCCACATATTATGTAATGAAGCGACAACCTGATTTCAGCAAGAAGGACATGTTCTTGGATTAACATCTATGTTAATCCTACAACAACAGTCCAATCAGCTAATCAGAATTAAGGGATACATTTTTCTTTTATGTAAAGTTTAGGCGTAGGTTTATATACTTCTACATGATTGTTATCCAACGATTATTTCCCTCTGATTTTGGGAATAATTTACAGTGGTTTTAGAGGTAGGGAATAGATGTGGATTACATTTTCCTACACAATTATGTTCCAGGATCAACACACAGATGTTAATGATCACATGGAACATGGCAAAATCATGACGTGCTGTAATGAAAATGACTACTCTTGTGATTCCACACTCAGTCACAACATCATTAAACTACAGCTTTGTTTGTTGTGAATATGCGCCCTCTAGTGGCAAAAATAAATCACATGCTGTGCCTTTAACCATAGTTTACATTAAAATGGCATAGCTGCCTAAATTCATAATATGTAATGTGTAAAAACATCGTCATATGTGTACATGAAGATGCAATATTTTCTTTAGCGATTATAGCAATTGATATTTGATCGAAGTAATAGTTAAAATGTGAAAGTTCCTTCCGTTTTGTTTGTGTGTGTGTTACGTTTGTCTCTTTAACATTTCAGAAGGAGAAGGAAGAGGAGCAGAAGGTACGCGAGGAGGTTCAGCTTTTGGAGTTTGTGCGAGTGCGGCAGAACTTGAAGAAAGTCCACACGGCTCTACAGAAGAACATTCACTCCTGAAGCAGATCATCTGACTAAAGCAAACTTTATTTGGCCATCCAGTTTCATTGTGAAATAAAGCACACGGTGATGCGTTGAAACAATCCTGTTATTAATTCTTTTCATACATTTTATCCGGTTGAACATCATGTTAATAGTCCATTTTAGACGTTGTTCTAATGATAAGTAACTTTGCAACTACCTGTCAAATAACTCTCATTAGAGGTTTACACCAAAAAAAAGGTTCCATACAGTTTCTTCATGCTGTCCCATCTCAAATCGGTTACTTAAAATTATTTGTTTTTTACAATTTAAGAGGTTGAACCTAAAACAATTAAGTTGTTCCGCCAAAAAAACTTTAAAAAATTATGTTATTTTAACTCATTTTAGGTAAGATAATATTAATAATATTAATATGCTGTAGAATATTTGCAAACTATAAATTTAAGGTTAGTGAAATAAGCTGACGCATAGTTGCAAAGTTACTTATAGTCAGGAGAGTGTCTGTTGTGGATCTATTATGATATGAAGTATAGCAGATATTTAAAGGATTAGTTCACCTCCCATCCCCCCAAAACAGTCAATTTCACCCCCTCATGCTGAACCACCGAAGTCACATGGAATGTTTTGACAATATTTTTGGTTTCTTTTTCTGGACTTTGATTGTCTTTTAGTAGTTGCTGTCTATGGAGGATGAGGGAGCTCTCTCATTTCACCTAAACTATGTTTATTCTTGTACTGAAGATGAATGAAGGTCTCAGATTTTGGAACCACATGGGGGTGAGTAATTAATAACCTAATAATAACTCATCTGGTGACAAGTAGTTGCAGACTTGCTTGCTGTTAGTAGATTGTCTAAAGTGTTCAATAATAAAGTGTTACATTTTATTCTGTCAAGTTGACTTTTTATTTATGTTCTGCAGCTGTATCATAACGTCATTCCCATTAAACATTTTTATTTGATGCCGTTCTGTTATTAGAATGACTAAATGTAAATATTTAGGCTGGTTTGCCTTCGAACTGAATTTTTCTGTTGACTGATACAAGTATATTGTGACACCAGTTTGTAACAGAAAGAATGTGCGGTTAAATAAAAAAACAAAACCATGTAATATTTGACTATTGAGTCATGATAGACATGACCAACTGCATTATGCTGCAAGGTAAACTACTAGATCGATTCATTGGATTTACTGCATTTTTTGAGGTAACTGTTTGCAAACACTTTATATGAGCTGAATTTAAATACATTAAATTTAATAATGTTCAACTTTCTGAACAGTTTGTTTAAATCAAGCCCATATAAATTGTTTGCAACCAGTTTCCTTTAAAAAATTGCTTCACAAACATGGCAACAATAATAAACAATTAGAGAGACAGGACAATATATGCTACAATAAAATTTAAAAAACAAAAATAAATTTTAAAAAATATGTGTAGTCATTGAGTCAAAAAAAAATTAATAATAACAATTTATATCAATAGGTAAAAGAGTAGAGGTGGGTTTTGACTGATTTTTTAATTACTTAATTTAGATCAAGCTCTAATTTCTAGAGGTAATGTGTTCCAAATTTTTGAAGCATAGACTGAGAAGGCTCTGTCTCCTTTTGTTTTTAAGCGGGATTTAGTGAACAATTAGGAGCTCAGCAGAGGACCCAAGGGATACGAGAAGAATACAAACTTAAAAGTTCAGATATATAGGTCGGGGAAGTCCATGTAGAGCTTTAAATACACAAGTTAAAACTTTCAAATCAATTCTCTGTCATTTGTTTTGGGAACTCTGAATCATTTTTTTTTCAGTGTGTAGGTGTTACATTTATTTTAGTTCATTTTATATTGAAAATAATGGTTTAAACATCTTTTTAAGTTCTTAATCTTAATTTTCTTAAATCTATTTAACACCATTTGCTCAGTTAATTCCTTTTATTAAAAAAAATGGATCAGTCCCCTCGATGTCGATGATAAAGATTAAAAACTATTAAAGCTTTGTTGTGTGTGTTTTTTTTTTAATAATAAAAAAAAACACCCCAAAGCACTGCAAAGAGTACTTAGTGTTTATTTTCTCCAAGAGAGTATGTAATATAGTCATAAATAACAATTCTAATAGTTAATAGAACCTAGAACCATTTAAAAAAGATAACATTTGTTACATTTATTATTACATGTATCAAAGCAAATCATAACATGTATTTTTTAGATCGTAATCTTTAGTAATTCTTCTTTAGCAGGTTAAAGTGAGGGACTTTTTAGCTCTTAGAATATGTAAATATTATGGTAACTATTTAGTTTAAACACCTTTTAAAAGATAGGAGAATGTCCTGTAACAGCTCAGCAAGTATTTTTTGTTTTAAAAAGATGTCTAATTGATGTCTAAACAGTCGTCTTGACTAAAACTAGGCTAAATTTGAGATGTCAGTGAAAATCTAATGCCCAGGCCAAAACTAGACTAGTTATCAAATAAACAGAAAAGAATGACTACATAAGATCTGTCTAATCAGTTTGTTTGATGTTTAGTTTTAGCCTATTCTTAGACATCTATTAGATTTTCACTGATAGCCCAAATTTAGCCTTGTTTTAGCCAAGTTGTCTACATTTAGATGTCTATTTATGCAAAATTGTTTGCTGGCAGGGGGGCATTTGGCCTTTCACGTGAAATTTGTTAAAAAAAAAAAAAAAAAAAAGAAAGATAAATTTCAACATCCTGAGCGGGGCCAATATATTATATTTCAATAATTACTCCTTCAACTGAAATTATGAAATCCTAAAAATGTAAAAAAAAAAAAAATAATAATAATAATAAAATTCTGGAACAGAAATGGCACTGAATAGTATTAATGACGCTATTTTGATCACTCGACAAGAAAATGAAAGGGTTTGGTTGTTTAAATCCTAATATTGCAAGTAACTTTAACTTTAGCCTGCTAAGCTGGTAATAGGGTAAAGAGTTAGGTAAATGAAGTGAATGCATTGTCAAAATTGTAATCTACGTTTCGTCTGAAGTGTAAAAATCAAAACACGTATTATTCATTGCGTTAAACAAACATTGTTTCTACAATTCAGCTGTAATGTTAACCTCTCTACGTTTGCAGTAATTAAATAGTATCGTTTTTTGCAAACCGAATGGGAGTTGCGCAACTGCAGTGCTTACATGAGCGTAGGAAACACACGCTTGCGTGCTTTCCTGAAGTGTGATTGGATGAGCAGAAAAAGAGCTGGCGAATCATCTCAGGAAAGCCGAATAAACAGGAGCAGCTGTCTGGATGCAGGTCATATGATGCGTCGCGTTTTAACTGATTCTGCAAATTTGAGGAAGAGGCGGTTTTACAGTGCTTTAGTTTTCGCTTTAACTAAAAAAGATTGTTTTAAACACAGTAAAGTACAGAAGAGGCATTTACTTCGTCTTTAAAGCCGGTGAGTATTTTATGAAGTGTTTTGCAAGATGGGAATTGTCAAGACGGTTTTGACGTTGAGGTAAAGTTGGTTTGATATTCGCACATGTGACAACTTGTGACAGTCTCTATATTGTTTACCGCGATACTTCCAATATTCGGTCTGACAGTCGCTTAAGTATGACTAAGTATGTGAAAAAGGTTATATTTTGATAGTCAGTGGCTGCTAATATGATTTCCCTATTTGCAAAGAATAACGTTACTTGTCTGAAATTATATTAAGGAGACAGGCTGAATGTGCAAATATAAAACCAACACCACCCCATGTTTTTCTCGTGAAGTTGTGTTTGCAACACAGATAAGAACTCCAAGACTTTACATTAAGAGTCATCAATCACTTTCTTGCTAACGTTAGAGCTTTTAATGCATTGAAGCAGATAATATTAATGAAGCACTGAAGACCAGTTTCTGTTTAATCACTAACCTAAACAGCTGTCAGTGTTTGCTGTTTTACCTTACTTCCATTTGCTTGTACCTAGGGCAATGGAGTCTTCTATCTACATGTATTTATTATTTATTACCATACTGTACAGCACTTGCACCAAAATTAATGGAAAACAACAACAAAATCCAATGAAAGCATTCATATCTTACATTCTGACTACACAAATGATCAGTGGTGTAAAGTAACACATTTCAAATACTCAAGTTACTGTAATCTGGACATTTTTCATAGAAATTGTAATTTAGTAAGTAGTTTTATAAATATGTACTTTTCCTTTCCTTTTAGTACATTTTTAGTGCTGTATTAGTACTTTTACTCCACTATTTTTCTTCAACCTGCAGTCACTACTTTCTTTTTTCTTGTCTATGGGATTAGAAAAGTCAGTCCCATTCCTGTTCAAATCACACAGGTGGTAAATCGCATCATTCTGAACAACCTCAAGACATGGGTGCTTTATAAATGCAGCTAACCATTTGGAAGCATTAAAAGTGTCCAAAGAAGTGTCCAAATCCTTACACAGAATGAATGAGAATCTGTTTAGACCGAATGTCACAGATGAGAAGATGAAGTATGATGACTGAAATGGCCTTTAACAATCAGTAAATGCACTACAGAATGTTACATTTACATGCAAACAAATTACATGTAATCTCATCAGATTTTAACAGCGTAATACTCGTATGTTTAAAAGGGGCTACTTTTTACTCATTCTTTAAGTAATATTTACTTCAGATACTTTTACTCGCACTACATTTTTGGGCAAGTTATTCTACTTTGTCTTGAGTATAAATTGTCAGTACTCTTTTCACCACTGCATATTATATAATCGAGTTAAAGTTGGTTTTTTTTATTCAAACATTTAGACTTCCTCCTTTATAATATAATGTCAGAAAAGTATTGTCGAAGTACAACATTGTTCACAGTCGATAAAATAATGCTAATATTGTTATGAAGTCAGACTTGCAAGTGTACATTTAAAGTACCATGGTAAGCAAATCCAGGGAGCATGTCACAAGTTGTCATTGAATGAATTTGTGTATCTAAAACCAAATTTACCTCAATTATAATACATACATATTGGTAAAGGTTAGGCTGTGGTCTAGATGCAGGATTTACCTGAAAACTGACTGAAGAGGTATAAAGTTCTAAGCACATTGATTCGTTAACAAAGATCAAGGGTCTGTGTTTAAGATCACAAGATCATACTGCAACCTCAACAGCGGTATATCAAAACTTTATTGGACCAACTATAAAACAGCCATTATGCCATGGCCCTAAACTGTCTCTTGCCATTTAAAGCAACAATGACTGCAGCAGTGCTGGAAGAGTATCGACACAAAATCCGGACTGAACTGGACAGAGTTGTGGATTTCTGGCTCAAATATTCCCATGACAAGGAACACGGGTGAGATGATTCACATTTTAATACATGGTTTAGTAGAATTTCCCCTATACTTTTTGTTGTGTGAAATTTGATTAATATACTTGCAAATGATGAAGCACTGAAACTAAAAGGGTTTCCTAAAGGGAGACACATTGTCTTAACATAAATGTTCACGTTTTTAACTGAGCATTTGGAATTTTTACAGATGGCTGTATGATGTGTAATTAGCTACTTTTTCCTCAGTTATTGTTGGTTTTATTTAAGATAATTTATTATACACTTGTTTAATGTCAGTTTTATTATGATGATCTTAGTGGATATTTCAACTGCCTTGGAAAAGATGGGAAGGTCTACGATGAGCTGAAATATGTCTGGTTGCAGGGGAGACAGGTCAGAGCTTTTCAGACTTTTCATGTTGAAACTTATTATTTATAACAACCATCAGCTGATGAAGTATTTTAATTGAATCTTTTTGGTCAAAGTCGGTGTAAAGTTGATGTGTCAGATGTGTCTTAATGTTTCCACCAGGTATGGATGTACAGCAGGCTGTATCGTACGGTGGAAAGATTTCGCAAACCTGAGATTCTTGAGGCTGCCAAATCAGGTC